CTGTTGAAGTGTAATCTGCATTGCTGAAAAGAAATTGGCTGTCTACCATTTCTTATTTTCCAGGTGGTGACCAGGATCTTAATCAGTTCAGATGTATCAATCTGTGTTTCCCGTTGAGAATCTGTTCAGGTTGGTTATCTAGAGAACGAAAGTCCATTTGAGTCACCAGGAAGGGGGGCGTGCATGTACCTCTCCAAACAAGCCAAAGGGAGGACCCTAAACAGCAGGATACAAACAAACGATTTCCGAGCATTTCCGGGGTAACCGATCGTTTTCTTCCTGATCAACGCCCCTCTTATTTTTGCTATTCCCTCTCCTTCCCCTGCCCACACAAAATTCCCATTTAGCTTTGAACTTCCACGAGGGTAATTCTGCAGGCAACGGACTGATACTGGTAGGGATTTTCCCAATGGCACCGGTATCCTGTTCTATCAGACAATGATAGGAAGCTAGGATCGAAACTCGAGTGCTTTTATGTTGTTGTTAGAAGTGTCCCTGATTCATAGAGATTTATTTAATATTTGGACTTTTAAAAGATCTGGTAAAATAATGCTTTGGATTGTTTTCTCCTGTCAAAAGACTGACACATCTTATTAAAAGCCAGATAAATGGAACTTATACTCTTGAGGTTTGGACCATACACCGAAACAGCTAACGTAGACTGCAATTGAAAGTTAACCTCAAAAGGGGGAAACTTGTCACACTTTTCCGATCTGGGAAAATGAATGTTCATTTCATAAATTGTGAAAAGTTTTCCCCTCGTGCGAAAAATGTTCACACCTTTTTAATGGGCAAAATTTTCACAGCTGTTTTTCACAAGTGGGAAATTCGCCTGTGAATGTGCATGGAAAATTCTTTTCATAATTTTTCCCAGTCGTTTCCACAGGGTTAGGTTGCTCTAGGACTGAACACCACATTCAAAACACTGAATATGAAGAAGTTTAACTTCTGAAATAAATAACAGTCATTACACAGCAAACAAGACCAACCCAAATAGATGGACCTGACAATCCTTACTGTCAAAACCCCATCCCTATGCATGCATTTTCAAACTGCTCAAACTGGTTAGAATTTCATATTTTCTGTTATCTGTAAAAAAAAAAAAACAATTCCCAATAAAGGCTACACAGATAATTAAAAAAATCTTATGAGAAGTTCAGAATTAAAGGGAAACAAGAAGAACCAAAACAATGCCTTAAAAAGAAATAAGACTTGCCTCTAAATGCATTGGAAATAAGGGTATTGAGAGAACCCTGTAAGAAACTATCAATGTTTACTTTACCCATTTAATTATAAAATCTATGATGACTAACATCGATGACCGTGTACTTGTGTGCATGAAGTTGCTAGGTCTCTTATGCCACCATTCATTGTGAAAACCAATCAGACTTGACAATAGGTGGCAAAATAAGGGACCTGGCAAAAATAGAGCCATGGACGTCACAGGTGTACACACTGGAGATGTCATGATCTGTACGCTAACTGTGTGTGCATTCAAACAAAGGATACTTGGTAAAAGTGGACTTTGCTTTGCCAAACAACAACTGTATGATTAGACAAACTCGAACTTGAACTGGGCTTAGGTAACAGTTCCATAGATGGACATCACTTACATGTATTTCCCTTGAACTGATTGATAAGCCATCAGGAAGAGACGACATGCCCCCAAAAGTCAAATTTAGCAGTGAAAATATCGAACCATTACTTTACTAGAAAGCACTTAGAATTTTTTCAGACTAGGCTCGTACTAGCACTGACTAGTCATAGGGTTTGGGCACAGGGTGTCAAGTGATGTCTGTATATGGAATTTTTTCCCCTAGGTTTTAAACATGTTGGTTATAACTTACTGCACGGATGAAACTAGCCCCACTAGTGTGGCATGGACTCTCACTCCTGATCCATGGATCGGGAGTGAGAGTCCGTGCCACACTAGTGGGGCTAGGATGAAACCAGAGTTAACAGGCTGATTTAAAGAGAAACAAGAAGAGGACAGAAAAACTCAGCTCTGATTCTTTCCTCAAATCTTCCATGGTCATCAGATGGTTCATTTTAGAAAAAATTCCATAGAAGTACATTACTAATTTGCCCTCCTGCAGTATATCAGCCATCAGAAAGATATAACATGCCCTGAAACTCTAATCAAGCAGGAACATATTGAAATATCTACTTAGAACATATGGAAGTTTTCAAATTTCAGGCCAAACTCGTAACTACTAGGGTTTGTGCACAGGTGTCGACGATGCATTTCATGCACTTCCTTGTTTTTTCCCTCAACATGTTCCACTTGAAAACATACTCACCCTTTGGATTATTCGATTAAAATCGAGAACGTCTCCTGTAACGTCTGAACAAGTTGATCAAACCGTCATTGGACGACATATTTGGAAAAGACGACAGAACGGGAACAAACTTCCCACTCTCACCACTAGGCAGGTACTAGGTACATGTACATAACTGGTGCAAGCCTGTACGATTCGGCCATCGGATATGTCACAACTCGGGTTCAACGAACTTATTAGAATTCTCATGACCGGTGATATAAAGCGCGCCCTCTAGCGCGCCTCCCCTCCCGTGGAGAAAATTAGTGGAAAGTTGTCAGCTCTCAAGCCTGGCCCATATCAAAATCAATAAAGAAAAGCACACGAGGCCATTGTGAACATTAATAAGGGAAGAAATCAGAAATATAAATTCGTGTTTTTTCCCTTATATCTGAACAGTTTTGGTGTCTTAGTTAAAATCTGGATCTTGCAATTTAACTAGTTCTTTTTTCTCAGCATGTCCTATTTTGCACTATGGTGAAGTACACCGAATTTTGCACCTGCTTGGAGAAATTTTGTCTTGATTTTTTTTTGACTGACAACTTGAATACAGAACTGTCGTCTGCATTCATATGTACATTCGATATAATCCCACATAAACCTAAGAAAATTAAAACGAGTCCACTTACATCTTTCTCCAGAACTCTCAAGCACTCCAACATTTTTCTGTTCGTCCTTTGTTTCAATTCTGCCCTTTTCCCAAAATGCCCTTGAGAATCATTTTGGCACACACCTTTGTAAACCGTAACCACACATACCAGTAAACAAATAATTAAGTGGAGTCAACATGTTTGTGCATTGTATTACACATATGTAAACGTTTAATAAACATATTTTGTGCGCCTTTCAGCCTGGGTTGGAACACACATTAAACAGAAAATGATCAAGATCAAGATAGAAAAACATGTAAAAAAAACAACAAAGCGATTTCTAAAACTTTCAATTCAATTTGCATATCACAGTAGGTACACGTACATGTTTATATTTGCATTCAAGTTCAAAACATCCTTCCAAAGGAAGCTCTATATCTGATGTATTTAACAGGTAATATATGGTGTATTTTTGGTTTAGGGCACCCTGTACAGATCTCTCATAACCAAATCAAGTCTAATCAGTTTGATTGAAAAATTCTTCTCTTTTGCTTGGGCCAGAATAAGCCTCTTTTCTTTATTCCCTACTTTGTCATAAAAAGGTTTGCTTATAGTGACATAAAACTGAAGTTTCAATTTACATGACAGCATATCAGACAGAATAAATCAATAAGTCGTTTTAAACTGATCCATGCAGGCTTTTGTCAATAATTTGTGTCTGTTTGAATTCATTAGAAAAGGCTGAGGTTCCCTTTTGATAAGCCGGTAAATATGAAGCCTTCAGAGATAAACCTGCATTAGTGAAGCTTTTCTAACAATTCACTTCCAGACAACAGTAAAATGTGGCAGAAGTTTAGCACATTTAAGAGCTTACGGTAAATCTCCAGGCACATTTTGAACAAATTAACTTCTTCACCATCCAGAAATTGAAAAACAAAATGCCGTGGAAAAGAAAGAATGTAAAAAGCTAAGAATGCTTGGAACATTGCACTGAAAAGAAATACAGTTCTGATTTGGCACACGGGCCATTTCTGTGGAGAAAAAGCCAAGTACATTGATACCTCATATGAACCAGCTTAGCTGGGCTCCCTCTGGGAAATCTTGTCTGTTCCCAGTATTGAGATGTTGTGATATGCAAGGAGTGATCTGAAAGGAACAGGACTAGTCTGTATTTTGAGATAACCAATTAACCATCCCATTGCCCACTCCACATTCCATCTGATACGTAAAAACCCTACAAATCCTTTCTGCTTTCTCCACCATGTGGAAGGTTTTGACAGTGTGAAACTGCAACAGTTTCACTGCAGTGACTTGAAGCACCAAAATACAGAGAGCAATGGTGTGAATCAAAGTGTAACAGAGTCAATTGTTTCAAACTGTGCCTCTGACACACTAACAATACATCAGGAATATAGAAGTGGTGATAATACTCTGGAGAGCAATACTTCATAGGAGTCAGATATGTTTGAAGTGGGCGTGACAACTCTCCAAGAAAACATGTCCAGGCAGAATCCTGAAGGGTTTGGAGGTGTCACAGACAAGAGGGGCTTGACATTTTGGAACTTTGGATGGTGGTTACTGTCGTCAGTGAGGCTGCGGAACGTGGCCATCGACGTAGAAATTCCTGGTTGCCTGGGGAAGCTTGACCTCCATTCCTTCTAGTTCCTTTGTTAAGATGATCTGACAACCTAGATGTGGCAATAAGGAAATGATGTCGGAGATGTGACCCTCTGCCCAAAAATTTAATAGTTGGAAACACAAATTGAAATAGTGTTCTTGGTCTTTGAAAGTAGAAGGTGATCATTCCTGTTTTAATTTTGAGGACTATAGATTTCAATTTTTCATGCTTTTTGAAGTAATGTGGCGTATTTGTTGCATTCCAACATTGATTCAAATGGATAAATGCTTAAAAGCCAATTATCCACTACAGACTTTACAAAATTAAGAAAAGTACTATTAGTCCTTAAAAGCTCATTGAAGAAGCTATATAGTTACGAGGATAACTCAAAGGCCTGTTTCGTTACAAGAGACAAGACTAGATTGAATGGACTTACTTAGTCTAGATGTAGCGGTTAAAAATGGTGCAAGATCCAACATGTCTTCCTCCCTATGACAAGAAAAAGATACACAGAAGCGAACAAATAAATGAATGTGTGACAAGTTTTACGGAACAGAATTTTTGAAAACTGAATATCTGGAGCCAGCTCTGTCTGAAGAAGTTGTGCAGACATAAGGACTTACTCTTCTTCTATTTCTGGTAGTTTATTGTAATAGTCGTCTGTCAGGACCACATGACATGTGCAGCACGCCAACGAGGCTTCGCACGCACCTGTAGCAGATATTGGAAACAGACACCATTCGTCTTGATGACTAGTGGAATTATTGCAATGAGCATGTTAGAAGAAAAAAAACAGAAACAACTGTGTCAAGAGGATGTACTACTTTGTCAACAATTTGGAGTCTGTTTGGGCCAGTGCGATTTGGGGCTGTAAGTGTAAGAACAATCTACTTCTTAGCAGCAAACTTGAAGCAACCGTGTTGATTACTGTAGGGTATGCAATCTGCTCAATCTTTCACTGCTGCAAATGTGCCGAGGAAATAGGATAGTCCAGTGCATTGTCGGTTCCGTTTGTTTCCAATCAAGCTTGCTTGAGGAAAATTTGCGTTGCCACCACAGATCATGAATGGGATTGTGTTTATGACACAGGCAGGTTTTCAGCTTTGATTGTTGCACAAATCAAGATGTAAGGTATTTTTTATTGTTCCATCCTTCCAAACACTTATGCTGATAGTATCTTCAATATCCAGAGCTCTTACCTTCAATCTCTATGTTGTATCTGTGGGCTAGATACATGACGTTATCTCCGACTTTGCCTTGTACTGGAATTTTTTCCCCACTTCTGTCTATATATGTTATATTGACACTGTAAGAGGATACAGGTTGGCAACTTAGACTAGGCAACTTAGAAAGTAAAAAATTCCAATCACATGAATAGGGTAAAGGCAAATAAACAAAGTTTAGGAACTTGTGCCTGATGACTGTGTTAAATGTATTTTGCAAAATACAGTATTGTGCAAAACAATTGATTGTTTACACAGAAATTCAATTTCCACTTTTAGATCCCTTTTCAAACTATCCTTAATGTCCTTTTGACTTTCCCTGACCATTGTTCAACTCATAAAATCCAACAAATTGAAATAGTGAATACTGACAACGAAGAAAAAAGGGCTCTTGTTTCCTCCCAATATCAACAGTCTGTGATTTAGAAATGTTTCTGAATTATGGTGAGTACGGTCAAAGTAATCCGGTCAAAGTAATACAGTCAAAGTAATACGTGCACCGAAGTTCTCTCATGAAATACAGCTCTTACATTTCATCTGGAGACTTTGGATCTTGATATTCATAACTGCCATGCCTAAGAGGACCTGCACGTATGCACAAAAGTAGAAAAGATTGCTGATTAATTTAAAAATTAATCAATGCCAACTTCCATGCCTGATCCGGAGATTATAGTCTGTCTGGTTCCACGCTCACATAGTCACTGTGATTTCATATTCACAAAATCATGTGCAGTGTCTTGATCCCTTTTCAATACAGTGTCTTTAATCTCTTTTTCCACAAAAATAAAGTAAATTTCCGAAACAAACTTTGTCTGACAAAAAAAAGCAACAAGTCACCACCTGGGGGATTAATCAAAGAATGTTGAATTGGTATGTGTTTGATTGGCAAAACATGTGTTTTGTTTGTCTTTAAATGTTAGATTTGCTAGAGCTGGTAAAATCTGAGTAACTGGGACTTTTCAAATCACCTGTTTCCAATATTTGCCTATAATATTGACAGACCTATTACTTGCTGGGAATGCTTAGTTTTAATCTAAGACTGAGACTGAGGAAAGGAGCTCAGTGAGACTAAACAGTACATACAGTATTACACGTACATTTACACTTTAACACACTGGTGAGCATTTAAAACTTGAAACAAAAAAATAAAAAAGGGTCAATTTAGAATTTATGAATGTAACATTCCATAAAAAGTGGATTCAGCTAGGCCTATTAGAGAATATTCTTTTTGACCTCTAAACTGTCTTCTGAAAGAAAATAATAAACAAGATAGGAAAGGTAAAAAAAGGCGATCCGTAGGTCCAACTTCAATGTTACTCAAAAAATTAAAAATAGTCGGACTGACATGACTGACTAACGTTACATCATGGAGGTAGGGTTACATACACTCACCACTTTGACTTTGTGAATGAAAATATCGTCTTTTCCTCCTCGACTCTAAGCAAACATATTTTGAATTAAGCCCACAATGACAACTGTCCCCTGGAACGAATGATCGAACGTTTTGTAAAGATGACAGTAGTCGTACATCATGTCGTAGTTGACGATAAACAAGATTTGTCGCACATTTCGTGACTTTCATGAACAGCGCCATCTTGGAAATCAGATGGAATTGTGGGATACATTTTGTGACCCTTGACATGAAGCCAAGCTAATCATGCATGCAAACGGTACGAAAAGATTAATTGCCATACAGTTCGTGTACGTGTGTGATCGCCGTTGCAGGTTTACTCGATCGAGGATGGGACGTTGGAACATGCGGTGAAGTGATTGCCTAAATTCTGCGCCGTAAAAAAACGCAACTTAATATGTTAACAGGTAGAGTGAATATGTAAGTCTCAGTATTGATCATGTGAGGTTTTATGCGAAAGATATTTGCTCGCAGAGAGTTGGAATCGACCTGTCTAGATCGCAGGCCATTAGCGGAACAAACGTAAGCAGCGAAAATGGCTACCTCGCCGTGCGGTAAGGCGAGAGTCATTGTCCTTGCGTTGGGATTGGTAATGTTTACGCACGGTGTTTCCTCAGCGTTGGAGCCCCATCAAAATGCTTACAAGGCAGCAGATTCCAAATCAACCCGGCAGAGAGGTGGTGATAAGGGACTGTCAAAGGCACAGATAAACTTCAACAATCCGGACTTACTCCATGAGTTGGCCTCCTCGTTGTATCAGCCCGGCGAGGCAGCGGGATCGAGCAAACGGAATCGTGGGGCGGGCACGGAGGCCGACTTGGACCGCACGTTGGTGAGGCAAGCAAACGTCCTCTCGGGCCGAGTCAGATATATCGTCAATGCAGAACTTGGCCTGAATGCATTACAGGTGAGTATGTGGCCTACCTTTTTCATGACACTTGAACAATTTTGTATTTCATATTCATGCGTGTAATTATGCTAAGTCATTTATGTCATGTCATGTTCTAATTGTAGAAATAATTGTTCATAATTTTCAAAGTGGAAAGAAATCTATATACGGACACCACTTGATACCCTGTGCACAAACCGTATGAGACGGTCTGAACATTTTGAAGTGTTTTCTGTGTACACGACTTGATCTTTTTCCTCCCAAATTGAACTTTTCTTGACATGTTTTTGCTTTGTGACAGTTTTAATGCAATTGCCAAATTAGTCTTAATTAATTGTGGCAATGCAGGTAGTCGTTCATAATTTTAAAAAGTTTCAGCTTATTCCCAGTTTGAAATTACTTTCAATTACAATTGAACTATTTTTAAAGTAATATTTCTATTTGTAAGATTAGTTGCTGTGCTATTAACTGAGACAGTAAATTGCATCAGCTAACAGTCCTAGCTTGCCAAGTATGTGCATAAATGCCGAAGGTTACTTTTATGATAGTTTGTGGTTGTGAATAAGCCAATTGCCAACATAAAACCCAGGTACATAGCCATGAATCATGAATTAAAAACCTGCATTTAGATTTTGTTGGAGAGTTGAAAAAATAAGTGAGACCTACTGTCAACCAAATTACAACATTCCTCGTGTATATTTTTTAGTGTTATTTTGCAATGCATTCACTATAAAAGTTATAACCACTTTGAATAGAAATCATGAAAATAAATGCTGGGCAGATCTTTTGAACGTAAAAAGTTAATGCCTGTCATTAAGGGAATTTGAGCTGTTTAAATGTAAAATATGCTGTTGGACATTTCTTACCTTTTTGTTTCAACACTGGAAATTTTACAAATTGTAAACCAAAGTTCTTGTAATTGCTGACATGCATTCCTGGCAGAGTTATTTCATCAGTGTGTAAAGTTAAATGATAATCAATCTGGTGACACATAAAAAAAATACACATGAACTTTAAATACCTTTTAATTACATTACAGGCATTTCAACTGATGCTGGAAATTAGTCCGAGTTCCAAAAGGGATGTAAGGAAATATTGCGTGACCAGCAATAATTCCTGCTATTTTCCATGGTCATGCATGGTGCATGTACTTTGTGTTATGGATAGATGTTTTGGAGAATTGCTCTCGATCCCTTGCCAGTGTTGGTCTGATGGGTCTGATAGATCCTTTGCATTAGGACCATCTTGACTGACATCTGGTTTTTGTTCTTGATCGACATGCATGATAAACCCTTTGTACCTTCAGTAGTAGTTAATTAAAATAACAAAAGACCAAATGTTAAAGGTACAATGAGGCCTATTACGATGTTTGGTGTTCGCAAATTTCATATATGAATTAGGAAGTGCCATATTGATTTAGCTTGACTCTGAGACTAGATTTGCATGGCAATGTTTCCACCTTGTATTTGAAAGCTTAAAAAATACACTTTAGAAGGTCCAATAAAAACCAAGCTGAGAGAGATGTTACGGTTTCCAAACAAAAATATGCAAGGTAGGCCTACTGATGGTACAATGTGTGTAAACTCATTTACATTTTATGAATTTTCTGCATCTTGTTTATTCTGAAGCATATTAAAAATCAACTATCAAATCTGTTGGTTGTCTTCTGATAAAACTGAAATACCTCTTAAAAACTTTGAATCCTCACAATTACATGTACGGTGTAAATGTATTCGAGTAAATGCTTCATCAGGCTGTAGAAATCAGTGTCATTGTGGCAGAATAAAAATCAGACCAAGTCACCAACAGTGCCTGTACAAAAGAAGTGAATAGATTGAAATACTCCATCTGCAAATGTTTTTCATTAATATTGCAATTTAAGAGCAGAATAAAGAAATGGTGACATGACAAACTCTCATTTTGTGTATTTTACTACATGCACTAGCAGCAGTTAAATTACTACTTATCATGTGTAGGCTTGTATTGTACTAGATAAGCGACAATTTTAAGTTTTCACTCGTACATGCTGTATGCTTACATTTGTTTACATTATAAGAGTCAAGATTACAAAACCGACTTTTCCAGCCTGTAAATCAATGACTATCAGGCTTGGAGCATCTGCAGAGAGATCGAAAGAGAACTCAAAATTCTGTCATTTATTCCCAAATCCCAAGCAGCAAAATAATCATACAGATGTACTGTATGTGTAATGATTGTTAGCTTTGTCTCATCCAGATTGGATTTGGATAAGTACATGTACATTCAATTACATGTACGTGTACCCTCCCTAATGTATCTCCTCGTAGCTAACCTGCACATGTAGGCCAACATCACAAGGCATTCTTGGGCACGGAGCATGTTGCCTGGTGTGTCTTCCTCCCCAAGCTAATGTAATTTTCTGTAAGGCTGGAGCCACAAATCCTATTTTGCATACAAATTGCAGATCCTTTGTGGCCTTTCATCTCATGGCCACAGGGCAAACCAGGTACAGCTAGGGATGGTGGCCAGGCAAAAACCAAATCTTGTTTGCTTCTCCTTCACGAGTGTAATTCAATCAAAACTGTGCCGTGGTTCTTTTTTTTTTAAGATTGTAAAACTTAACAGTCACTCAGTTAGTTTGGGAATAAATTTGTTTAAATTGTAACTACATGTACATGTACTGTTTGTTAAAAATTATAATGACTTTTCTCATTAAAAATGTATCATTTGCTTTCTTTTACGTAAGAGTCTAAAATTAAAACTGCTACAAATGATACATGTATGATTTGATAACAGCAGAGTAATCCAGCAACTCAAGGCTGTGTGTTGACAAAAAAATGCAGTGGATGGGTGAAACTTCAAAATTCCATCCGGAAAAAATACATTCTACTGTGATAACTGTGGTAGGATAACATGTACATGTAGGCTTGACTCCCAGTCTAGATTGTGCTACAGGCCAACATTATTATGACTACATAAAGAGGGTAGGTTTGATGGCCCATTGGATTAAGAACCCACCCTCTCAGCCAGCTTAAACCTTCTATTGTGCCCAACAATAGAGGGGCCCAAACCAGCTCCTTTTTGCCTGCGTTGACCACACAGGCATAAACCTGAGATGCTTTGACAAGCTTGGTGTGTTTATGGCTGTTTGTGGGCACTTTTGTGGGCCCGGTGTATCCCAGGAAAGCCAATTTTTGCTACATGTTGATGTCGGCCATCTAGACTTCCACGAGTCCTTACAGATTTTTGTAAAACTATTGGAAGGCTTATCAAAGTGCATGCATGGGCCCATCTGCTGAAAAGTCGTAGAAAAAAAATTGCGTTAACAGGATGGCTCTACACACACCGGTAACCAGGAAAATATTTGATAAGATTGCTGCAAAGCCATGTGTAGCTTGCTAGAAGTGTCACTAGCAGCATTGCAAGACATTACTCAGCAGCACGGCTAATTTCATGGGCCAAGAAGCTATAAAAGTGCTGTTAGTTTTCCCCCTAGTTGTGAACTACCGGTACATGTGGACATTATTACCAAGGCCCCTAAATCTTGTACAATTATAGATTTTCACATTGGTTCACCTTCATCACCATGCATTATTTCCTGTGCCTTACCCTACATTTACAATATTCCGTTGAAACAGATGATAGAAGAATAATCTTTCCCTGGTTATCAAGCACTTTCCTCCTCTCATCTTCAAATTTGCACCAAGTAAGCCAGCCAATCTGATGTGATCCATCCATCACAACACCCAGTTTTTTAAACATTCTGATGAATCCATACATGTACATGTATACAATCCACCTGAAGCTAATTTTGTCTTAAGGCGTGCACAAGATTTCTACCTCTTACTCAGTTGGATTTGGGGAGTCAGGTTGGCAAGGTAGTTCTTTCCTCGCCTTCCACCTCTGTGGTCCCGGGTTCGATTCCCGGCCCGGTCCACACGTGGATTAGGTTTTCAGTCCCTACCTGACTCCGTGGGTTTTACCTAGAACATTCCTCTGGGGTTTTCCTCCCACCTCTAAACTGTACCTGCTTCTTACTGTCTCCTCTTTACTGATGTTGGTGAATGTGGGTCGTTTGGTGGCTGCCTGAGGCGCCCTTGTATGCCATTGGCTCAACTATGTTTAAATGTATTCATTGTTCCATGCGTAATGTCTTCATTGTACCGGGCATTTGAACATATCTATATGAAATTTGTGCTTTATAAATGAATAAATTATTATTATTATTATAAAGTTGGGATAGTTCTTCTGGTAGTAAACACATGTGCATGTATACATGGATTTAGAGATGGGTTGGTACATGTTGCAGAATTTTTGAACTGTTGGGGGAAACAAAATTCCAACGAAGTTCACAAACAAGCATGGGAGGCAAGGACGTGCCATGTTCACATACTATACACATAACTTGTAAGAATGCATTCAATTCTACACAAAGCCCAGCGGAATCACATCATTCTGTCAAGAAGTAATAAATTCCCTGTTTGCTGTCCAGTCCTGACCTGACTTGGCCCCAGCAGGAATGCTGATGACTGTGCAGCCCTCATAATTCCTGCTTTGAGGTGACCTCAGCTGACACCACAGTATCAAGTGCGCAGTGTTCAGTGAATTTACACTAGTACCGCCACTCAATTCTGAAATGAACCATCCGATTGGATATTCACGGGCTGTGCCTCTGTGGAGTGCCTGGTAGTTAGCACTCTCAATTAGGTTCCCTTCATTTCCCCGGCACCTGCCTAAATAATACACGGGTATATTGGTAGTTTTATTCAAGTTGTGCAGTTAGTTAAATTCTTGTGAAATAAGAAAAAGAAATGCTCATTCAATACATCTTGCATTGCACGACCCGCAGATGCTTGGCAACAAAGAAGAAAGTAAAAAAAAAAAAATTAAATTGTGTTGAATTGGGGGACTAACATACATCATGTGTACCTGTAGTTTTTGTCCGTCTGCTATCAGTGATGTTAGTATGTTACAGATGAATTCCTTTTGCAAGTGGTTAAGGTACAATATAGTGCAAACCTTGAAACAATTTTTTTTTGAAACTAAATATTTCTACGAATTTTTTGGGCCCTCAACATTTCTACTTCACTACCCTCTGCGCGATAGATTTTCAGGCAGGCCTTTCCCACTGAACTTGTTATTCTTCCCTCAAGCTCCCTTAGCCGCAGCACACCAGGTATTGTGGCTCTCCAAACAACCCTCCAATATCCAGCCACTCTCCATGTAGGGTACCCTTCATGTATGGCACCTTGAGTGATTTAATCCAGCACAGGAAGAGCAGACACACATTGGGGCTCAGTACTCAGTATGGGTCTGGTAACATGCTGGAGGCAAGCCTTAATTTATTTGCAACATGTAGTTCATGTACCACAAGTGACAATTGGACGCTGCGGTAGATCAAACCACTGGTGAGCCTGCACCTTTTTATTGTCCAGAGAGTGGACAGGAAAGGAAAGATCGGCCGTGGAAATAAATATTTTTATAACCACTTTGCTTAACTACCGGTAAATATTTTTGTTTTCGTGTGCTGTTTACTTTTATTAACCCTCTGCTTTAACCGTCAAAAACAGTCAAAAATTCCTTCCACTTGATTTCCCCCAGTACACAGACACATATGGGAAATTTGACTGATTTTGACTGATTTGATGACTGTGTCATGAATGTACCTTTGCATAGGAGAATTAAACAAACATTGAATTTTGTCTAAATGTATGAAATAATCCTCTTAGACGCACTCACATGCACATGCTTCAGCTTGACGCGCGCGAGCATATGGCAAATCACGACCTCCTATCGGTCAAAGAGGCATGTAGCGCGCACGTACATGTACCTCCTGTCCACGAGGGTTGTGCCACCACAGTAATGGTATCTAATTCTGGTGGTCGAATTACACTATTTGGCAAGGTTGCTTCTTATATAAGTTATACAAGGCTTGAAACCAGTGGCTCCCTGTTCTTAGTTGATGTAGATTTGGGATGTTAGGAATGTAAAGTTATATGTATCACTTTGGTTCAAAATTTGTCCAAAGTTTGCAAAACCAGGTGCTAAATGTTGGCAGAATTGGTTGGATATATGATGTCAAGGCTTGTAAAATGTACTTGGCCTCGTTTGGATTTGTGATGCCGCATATTTGTGGTAATGATTTTACTACTTTGAATGTTAAGCGATATAAAAATGGTATCAAATTTATGGGACGTGACTTTCATGCTGTACGTGTACATGTACATGTATATTACACAATACATGTACGTACATGTATATAATTCAGATTTCGCAAATGTACATGTAACAATTTACGTACATACACATGTAAGAACTGTGATTTTGAACAATCTCATTATGTCTGATACATACAAATACATGTATACACGAGTAGGTTTACATGTTTTCCAGCCATTGATTGTACATGTGTATGTGCACATGTAGGCTATCTGTGTGCACATGTAGGCCCTTCTACATAAAGTATTTGCGACAGAGCAGTTTCGATCCCTTCCCCCGCAAATGACAAATTAATGAGCAGAGCGTCCTGGTACAAAGATCGCTAGGCTGTTCAAATCCTGAACGTTCCAAGGGGCCAGGAATCATCAGTTTTCTCCCTGCGCTGGAATTCAGTAATTATTGACAAAAGCTCGACTGTACTCTGGACTCTTGGGCTTTACTATATTGTAAATGTTTGTCGATAAATGTACATCGATTCAAAGACTGGAACACTTGTTCATATAGCTACTGTAGGAAAACAGTAGGAACTGGAAAAAAAATTCTCTCCAGTTGTGAGAAGACCTTGGGGAAATGGTGAGGGAACTCTGATTTTTTGTTATTGTAACCTTTTTTGACCAAGCATAAATCTTGCACGCAGCTGGATATCATTATCAAAACACAACTTGGCAGTGGCTTCAAAAATAACGCTTTACCCAGGGAGACATTATCGACCGCTAACTATCCAAAGGCAAAATGCATTGTCGTCCTTTTTTTTTCAAGAATGTTTTATTGATCGGAGCAAGCTACTGTAAGTGATGGTTTTAATAGTTGAAAAAAATATCAATTGAAAGAACTGCCGTCAGAGAAAAAAAGCTGAGGCAGTTAAAAATAAAAGATGAAAACCGGGTACCGATAACATGTCCCGCCATGTAACAGGCTTCTAACAAGTCTCCATGGAGAGAAATGGCCCTGTACAATAACCTCACACATATCGGTTGGTCATCAATTTTCTGTTTTCTTTTTCTTTCCAGAAAGCCTATGATTCTTTGTCTTATCAGGATCAGCAACCAGATGCACAGCAAGGGCTAGACAAGGTACATGGAAGGATAAAAGAAAATCCCTTCATACTTTTTGTTCCGTTCAAAAAGACGTTAAGTCTTTTAGCCCAGTTTTTAATCTTTTAGTCCTCAATCTTTAAATTTAATACTTATAAAATAAGAAATAAGTATACCTTATTTATGGTGTTTGCAGTAAGACATTTTAACTCTGAGTTTCTTTTGTAAAATACATGTAACCAGTTTCTTCAACAAAATCGGGAATGTGAATGGATTCCTAATGAAGTGTGAAGATTTGGAAATTTTATCTCAGTGCCTATGAACACAAAAGCCATGTTCTTTGAAGCAAATAAAAATGATATTCTGTTGGCGCCACCACATCTAACGGCTCAGAAACTTTAGCAGAGAGATATCCTCGTTCACGTACATCCCTTTAACAATACACAAAGTCCATTCTTCCTCATTAACCAGCCTGGAATCTGCACTCTACTCTAGTAGTAATAAATACAGAATCCATCATGCTGTGCGCAGTGGTGTGTGTAATCTAACGACATTGCTATTCGAAATTTACATGTGCCTGCTGACTAGTAGAGACGGAGGTATGCTTGGTTGAATAATAATCTCGAAGCAAAGCTGTCCTCAGGATTTTCAGTAAGATTGATATCAATTTTGAAACGAGATGTACAAAGTGGATGGACGTCATAGTCTTCAATATAGCCGCACTTATGCACTGATTACTTTGATGCTTGTTGTCTATTTGTTTTCTTGGGAAAAAAAAGGAAGCGTGCGATTAAGTTCATCAAATTTATCCTTTGCTGCCAGCCACATAAAGATTGAGATTTCTTTTAGGTAACATGTATGAAGATTAAGATAATACATTGTTATGACCAGGGAACTACATGTACATTGGAACTACCTTCAACAGAGAGAACCAGAAGAAGGTTTGATTAAAACAGGAAAATCCAAAACAAATGTAGTTTATTGTGTAGACATGCTAATGGATGGCTAGTCCCATGATGCCATGCAGATTTAAATGTAGCCGATATGCAATCTATAGCCGTACATGTGCCGCTTACTGTCTCCTTGATATTGGAAGAGGCTCTGGAAATCTTCAAATCGGTCACGGCTTAAGTTATTTCCCCTCTTGTTCTCCTCGGCAGTTGACATCCAACATCAGGGTCAAACTGAAGAAGTTCCTGTCGCTGTTGAACTTTGACCGGGTGGTGGTTGAGAACCTTTACCGGGCCCACCGCTCGGACCCAATCACGGCCGGCCACAGTTGCTGCCAACTCCCTCCCAAGTACTTCAAGTAAGTCCTCATCCTGAAAATACGTATTGTTGAAAATACATATTTAAAAAAATATAAATCAACGCGCACTTTAAAAAAAACAACACAGCCTCCATTTAAGAGTCGATAGTGTGACAAAAGGTGACAACTTTTTGCAAGTAAAGTTGTTCTTGTTCCCGGTTGATTCTGTTATACAAGTGTAGTTCTATTTAAATGCTGGCAACAGTTCAGATATCGAAATGCATTTTATCTATTTATGGGGAAATATAGCAGACCCAGTTTTTGAAGGATTTTAATTTGTCCAGCAGCGTTGTGCGTTATACATTGTAAAGATCCCCAATTAAATTTCTGTTTTTGTTTGCTCGTGGTCACAGATATGACTCTGTCTTCCAAACCAACATCTCCAAGGAGGCTGCATGCGAGCGAGTTTCTCCTGGTACACCCAGCCATGCCTTCAACCCCGTCAGGAACATCTCACAAGGTGTGTGGTCGCATCATCCACGCTTGGGTCTTGAGTGGACCTGTTTTTACATTTTGCAGAGGAGCATAAAATCTTTGCTGTATGTGGCCCCAAGACCAATTTCATCAAGGCTGCCTAATGTAGAAACTAGCTAAGCGCTGATAAATTGTTTAGCAAGTACAAGTTACCAGCCAATATGTTGTGTTATGTACCACGGTTTTGTCTGTTTCTTGATTGTTCTTGCTTAGCACAAAGATGTGTGAAATGTAGCTTAGAAGCAGTGTGAGAATATTGGGTTGAACATGGGTCACGTGGGAACAGTACATCTGTATGAAGGTCTGCTAACATGGGTCACATGGGAACAGTACATCTGTATGAAGATCGGCTTGTGTAACAATGTGTATATACGATAGAAATTTTGGGCCAGGTCGTGTCAGAAATAAGCGAAGGAATGTAGGAGGCTTTGCTGTCCTCAGTCCTGATGCTTGAGTCTCTGGGAGAGTGTCTTATTAAAGGAAGAGGAGATGCAGTGCCCTCTCCTGTGCACTTGCTATGCATGTTTGCTAGTCCTGGACCTCAAAGATCTATTTTCTTTTGGCTTGGGTAGTATTCAAGAGACATCAGATGGCCAACCCTACCCTCAAGTGGCAGTATTTCAACTCAGAAGATGGTGTACACGTGGTCTTCCCTTCCACCTCCTACACAGCCAACCATGCCCACGCTAGACGGTGCAAAGACAGTATGGACATGAGGAATGAGTACGTTAATTGTACCTTTACACCAGGTTTTGGCCATTCCACTGACATGTATAGTCATACTGTATTCTCTGTCTGGTCCGAGAGTCGGGGGAAAAAAATTACAAGCTGGCTTGGGTGGGATTCGAACAGACGACTTCCTGCTTGCTAGTGCACATGTTAATTCCCAAACTGGGAACTTTCACGAATCCATCAAAAACCGCTGCTGTAAAGGAAGCCAGTGGCAGTTTTTTCCTCCAGCCTGCCATATTCTCAAGCCTTCCCCCTCAGGTTTTTTTGGTGATCTTGGAGGATTATGGCCACTATCATGTATCTCAACTGAAGCTGTTGAAATCCCAATACCTGTTCCCGAAAAACTGAGCATGGTAGCGTCTGGTGTTCAGTTTGAATATGTCAATTCTGTCTATCTACAGGCCCATCTATTCGTCCACCGTCAGACCTCAGGCGAAAAGCGTCGTTATACTGATTGACAGAGGTTTCTCTGTCAGTGAGGCATCCTTGCAGATTGCTAGGGAATCCGCGGAGGTAGCCCTGGCATCGTTGTCCGAGAAGGATCAGGTAAGATGACGCCAGTCACTAGTTAGGCCAAAGCATTGTGCTCATAGGTTGTTGAGCTGTTGTTGTAGTTTGGCTGGAACTTGACCACAAGTTGATTGCTTAGTTGGCCATTCCAGTTACAGTATTAAATCCATTAAAATTAAAATTAGGCATTGTGAAGTCCTGAATTTCTGTTTGGTAGACGGAATGTTCATCTTTGCATTTGTCCCAGCTTCTTTTGACAAAAGTTCATTCACGGACTTCTGGGAAGCATTTCAAGGTGCCCTCAGTAGGACGGTCAGGCACTTTCCTCACACAAATCACTCTGTAGCAGCTTGTGCAATAATGCCCTTTGCCAGATAGCACATGATTTTGACTGATGTCTTGATACTCATGAAAAGAGCCTTTACGGAGAGTGAAGTGGTTTTAGATGATCAAGCTGTATCATTGTTACTAATTAACTGCCAGAATGATTGATTTATAGGGGAACGGATCACTTGGTGGTATTCTCAATGGCTTTTTTTTTCTGGCCGTGCCATGCCAAAGGTCAAGTGTTGGTCAGCACTAGTCTTTCAGGTGCGAATGCGGACTTTATCCACTTTTTGAGAGGCACAAAGATGAGAACTGTCAATGGAAGTGAGGAACACAAAATTATTTCCTTTTGTCTCAGGTGGGAGTACTGAGTGTGGGATCTACTGTGCAGACGTGCCAACAGGATGGTTGCTATGACAACCACCTAGCAACCGCTACCATGGATACCAAAGAGCAGCTGGTCCAGTTTATCAGAACCATCAAGCGGGACACTGGTATGGATCGCTCATTGTTAAAAGTGCCCTCTTCCTCAACTTTGGACATTTCTGACAATCTTGAATTAAGAAATTCAGATAACGACCGTCAGTGTCTGGCATGCAGTAATTTCCGCTTAGGGTGTCCTGTGGCCACTCTAAATTAATTGACCACACTTTTTAATTTCATGAGATGTGTTATTCCCTGATGGTGTCAAATGTTCTATCAGCACAGCCATGCGTACTTTGTTCTTGATTGAACTTACGTTTTTAGAATACCAAACTGGCTCACCGGGTCACAAACTTGTCTAAAGGGGAGTTTTGCTGGATAGTGTACATACATTCAGTACTGAGCAGAAGCACCCCCTCGTGGGTTGGAAAGAGCCATGTCGGTGGGAAGTGTTCATTTTGTTGGTAGTGATGCAACCATAACATGTGCATGTCATAGCCATTTGTGAACCAGGGAAGGGTAGTTCCAAAGGAACCTCTGATGCTAGGAAAATTGTGCCCTCTCCCGGACAAGCTCAGGGTCAAATAACACCTCACCCATAGATTCTCTATCTTGATTTGCCCAGAGCTAGTCTATTCTAAGCGTGATTATGCAGTTTTGTACAATTCGCTATTGGTTTTTCCTCAAAGAATAACAGTGCGTATGTCTGTTGGTCTCTGCAGGTGTAACCAATCATACACAGGGTTTGCAAAAGGCTTTCAACTTATTCCAAAGGTCTACCATGCCACAGCATCCCAACAATAGTGTCACTGGTGAGTTCGTATACAGATGATAGGGTAATAGACTCTTAATTTCTAAGCCAGAGAGGCACTTGATGAATCAGTGGTAATGACAGAAAACGATGAGATTTAGAGTGTTTTGAACCGCTGAAACCATAACTTATAAGTTTAGGGTGTTCACTTGCGTCATGAAATTAGGACTTACCTGATAATGTGTCTCTTTAATCGCATTCTTGTGTACTCAGAAACTTGCTGTTGTGTAAGGAACATTTTTTTCCTAAGTACACATTTTCAAAGCATTCTTTACCAGTTGAAACATCTGGTGAAGATATTTTCTTCGTTGCGTTGTTTGTTGCTGTTACGCACTGATATATTGATAAGTTGCTGGTGTTGAGATGATGTGACCTGGCTGCTTGCCTGTCAATAAGTGACGCATGTTGAAATCTTTTGCGATGATACAAACAGGCGTGAGACTTTTCCTTGGATCAGCTGATTTCCTTGTTTTTCACTTCACACTCATGCAATTGAAAATTGAAAAGCACTGTACAAAGTCTTGCAAAGATTGAAATTTCCTCTTTTTTGGCTGAATTCCAAGTTGCATGCCGGTACAAAGAGACTTCTTCTGACAAATTTCATTTGCTTCTGTTTGGCAGACTCTGTCATTGTGTACTTCAGTGCTGGGCATGTGTCTGACACTGAGGGCGCTACACAAGTCATCAACATGGTGATCAACGAGAACCAACGATTCAACAACAGGGCTATTGTAATGACATATGCCCTAGTCCAAGGTATTGTAAAATCATTTTTGAAGAGACCATAGTATGTTCCATCTAGATTACTCATTGTGGGCGTTCTTTCAAAGTCAGTCCCAATCTCTGAATTTGAATGAACTATTGCCTTCAAAATGGATTATCGAGCTGCCGTGCATATATAAAACTTAATTGGCTTGATTAATAATGTAGCAGTTTGAGCCCCAAATCCCTTAGATGTTCTTGGAGAAAAATCCATTACAGACGTGATTGGATTGGAAAAACAGTCCACATATAACCTTGGTTGGGATTCGAACCCAGGACACACACAATGTAAGGCAAGGAAGGCACCACAGTGTTCTGATGCTATGTACTCAAGATATCATACTTTTTTCCATTTGAATGAACTTGTAGAAGGTGTAACTGGTCTAGAGGAGTTGGCCTTCCTGCGAGACCTGGCAGAGCTAGACAATGGAACCAGCTACCAGGAAATACCTAGACAGAATCTACCACCTAAACAGGTCAGAACACCTTTCGAATATGGATTAGTTGACCCTGTTGTGTCAGGATGCCTGCCGTGTACACCGCACTCATATTGAAATTTAGGCTGTACATGTTTGAGGAGTAACACCTTACCAGAGGTGGAGTAATGTATTAAGTTCTTGTACAAAATTGTTTGCCTTTACAAAATGTAGAATGGTTTGTTTTCTCCTAACCAGAAAGGAGTGATGACAGTGCTAAACCAGATGAGCAACTTGCCGTCGGCAGTTGGGAGATTTTACACCATTTTGCCTCTGGACACAGCCTCCAAGCCCGTCTTCTCTTTACCTCACTTTGACCTAACTGGAGGAGGTAAGCACCACTTTGCCGTGAAAACAAAGTGTAGCTGTTTTTCATTGGAATGCGGGCAAACAAGTGGCATCTTTCTTGACAGCGGTCCACCTGAACATGACCCTGTGACCGATTTTGGCCCCAGAGTTCCTGTCAGTTGTTTTAATACTGTGGATTTTACCTCAAAGGATAAGAACTGTTCATTGGTTGATTTGCTTATTTGTTGGTTACTTAGGTCTCATCATGAGTATCACCCAGGCATGCTATGTCAGCAGCCGGCTGGTAGGCATTGTGGGTCTAGATGTCAACATGGTGGATCTGCTGGAGGATATAACATACTTCAAGGAAGGGGATCGCTCCTATGCCTTCATCATCGACAGGAAAGGTACGTCTGTCAGCTGTGATGGCTTGATTTGTATGCTGAAGTCACGTGTGCATCTCTTGTCTAGAACCAGGTTTTGCTACTTGGACATATTCTGAGAACAGAAGTAGCCATAAGTTAGGACCTCAAGTTGGGATATTGACCGAGTTGTCTGGACCTGTGGACCATGATGGCTTGGGCCATGTGTTGTTAAATCATTTGTTGACGATCAGTCTTTTTCTCCATCTTTTTAGGCTTGACTATCATGCATCCATCCTTGGCAAGGCCCATAGTGGCCTCGCAGCCACCCCTCTATGCCGACATCAGTCACTTTGAACAATCAGTAGACTTTGACAAGGTCCGCCAATGCATGCTCAGGTGTGTACACAAATACCCTTCACTGCCTTGTTGTATGTTAAGTGTTCCGATAGTGAGCTGCATGAGATTTTTCTTTCACGTTTAGAACTGCAGCAGAATCTTCAAGCCTTAGTCACTCTGCTGCTGTTCCAATATTTGTTGACGCCTGAGCTGGCCAGAAATTTTTTCAGCATGTTTATTTTGAAAGAATTTGAAAGCAGAGTAAAGAAAAATCTCGGATTTCAAACTGGAAAAGGAATCTACAATTCAGTTTCACTAATAGTTCATTCTGCAAACTTAAGGGAGTTTTGTAAATGGACTGGTTTCCTTGTTGAACTAAATGTTCCATTTGCGTTGTGCAGGGGCGAAAGTGGCACCATGCAGTTGCAGAGGTTTGCCAATGAAAGCACGTTAGTCAACTACACATGGAGAGCGGTGAGTATCTGGTTGGAAGAAACTGATCATAATTTCATGCATATTCATGAGCAAGTCCTATTCTCACAATGGGTAGAGTTCCTTACTATTACTAGAATGCAGCACAGTGCCCAACATGGTCATATGTCCAAGCACTGTACATTCTTCTCTATTCTTTTTGCGTCATGTCAAAAAAGAGATTGTAATCATTGGCTGTAAATGGTTGGACAGAGGGTTTTTTTGTACAGCCTACAGCATGGATCGGTAGGTAGGTTAGCCCTATTCATGGTCAGTCTTGGAGGTTTCTTTGCACTTCAAAGTAAGGACATTTCTGCTGGCAAAGGAATATGTGTTTGCACATCAGGGCTCTCATGGAGCGCAGAAAACACAGCGTCTTATCCATCATCTCTCTCAAAGTCCACAAACTTACGAGTGGATGCATTTGCTACGAATTAAACGATGGCTTGATAACTGCTGCATGTGGTTTGTGTTGCAGGTGGACAACGCCCCCTTGACAGTGTGTGTGGTAATAGAGCAGCAGGATTTTAACCTCAGACACTTGAAGAAAATGCACGGTGAGCTGTGTTTCTTGGCACTTTTTGTCTTGGATCCTTTTGTCTCTGCGAAAAATGCAAGAATGCATTTTGGATCTCCACTTGTTAAAGAAATGTTGCTATCTCTTAACTTAAAGTGGTGGAAATAGTTACATGCCTTTAAAAACAATTTTGAAGCATTTGCCGTACTGTTGATTTAATTAACCATTGTTGTTGGTCTTTGCAGTACCAGCAGGCCAGACCCTCCTTTATCACCGACTAGATCTCCTGCCCTCAGAAAGCAGCTGCATGCACCTAAAACAGCTGGCAACAACAGGTAAGACAAGATGGACATTTTTGAAAAAGGCAGAATTGTTGTTTTTTAACGGTTTCCCTCTTCATTGTTTTTTTTGTCGTCACAACTGAGTGATGTAATGCATGTCACTGCATGTTTTAGAGATGTACACTTCGAAACGTATTTCTCTCGTGAAAAGTTTGAGGGGCAGTCTAGTAACAGTAAATCTTTTCTTGTAATTATGTAAATTGGAAATTCACTAAAGGAAAGTCATCCCGGCTTGTTTTATTCCTGATGTCAGGCTGGTAGTTTGCCTGTCCGTTGTGGAATCTATGAGTGCTGAACTTCGTGTGGACAGATAGGAAACTTACACGCTTTTTTGGTGTAAATTTTAGGCCAGTCAGTCAGATATGCCAGTACTCTCCTCTCAAAGGGTCTTAGTGGCTGCCCTCCGTATCTCAAAAGACTGGCTTGGCATTCCTTGGTGCATGTTGCTGACCTCGACTTCAGTAGTGTTTCTATAGTCAAACGTAGGGCAGTTAACGAAAACGATGATCAGAGTGATCTGAGTGATCTGAGGATCGGCCAGAGCAAGGGTTGACTGACACCCCAGGTTACCATTCGTCTTTGCCCCCCTATTTCAGATGCCAGCACCCTCATGCTTTCTCCTAGCAGCTTCTCCTCCCCATTTGAACATCTCAGCCAGCATGAGACCAAGCTGGTGGTGCAGGCCTACATGGCGTACCTGAGCGACAACACCAATCTCATCGCTAACCCTGGCTTCAAGGTAAAAGGAAGGCTTCCACAAAAGGGTTCTTGAGAGTGATCCTGGCACAGTTGCATGAAGTTGTTCAGCAGAAACCATGACATAGTAGAAATGAGCCGTGAACCAGTGTCAAGTAATGCACTCTCCATTGCTTTTTGGCTGGTAACCCATATTTGCTAGGCGTACATTTTCTGCACTTACCAGTTCTGTGAAATAGGCCCCCATTGTTTGAAAACGGATTACTATAGACATGCATATCAGTTGTTCTGGCATCATACAGTTCCCACAAATCTCTTCAGTGTTCTGTCTCGGATGCTAGACCATGGTCATGGCTACTCACTATAGTGTGCCAATTGGACAAGCTAAAGTCTTAGCCACAGAATGCTTGCCCTGATCAGATATCAAGCATGGCTGACAGCACAGGATTGTGGGAGATCTGGCGGGGACTACCGAGGAATTACATACCTTACACGCCAGAAAATCAGGAGTAAAAATTAGAAGATATATTCTTCATCTTTCTGTATTTTGCAGGAAATGATCAAAGATGATGTGTCTGCCACCAGTGGCTTGGAGAAGGTCTGGTTAACTCAGTTTGAGAAGAGTAACCTCAACGATTACATTGTCAGGAGGTCAGTGCAGGTGTAGACTTGGACCACTTCAAATACCTGTTGCCACTTCAAATTCATGTGTTGCCCTGTCTCCAGTGTATGTATTTTCACGGCCACAAAAAGTCTGATGTGTGCCATGTATGCTCCGTTTGCTTTTTTGGCTTCTGTAAACTTTGTGTTATGATTGTGATACAGTTTGAACTGTTCAAAATTGAAAATTAACAGGTGTATAATTGACAGGTGTTTTCCTGATAACTGCCTTGCAGGTACCTAGCTACAACCAGCGGCATTCTGAGGATGTATCCAGGCTCGCGGGTGGACAAGAGCTTTGACCCCTCCAAGAGACCTTGGTGAGTGACCTTTGACATGTGATATGAGACCCAGCACCCACCCATCTGCACAATTAAGGTCTTTGTAAACAAAAACAAACTTCAGACAGGAAATGTTTGATTTGCAATTTATATGATACTCAGTTATGTTTTCGCCCAACATTTTACTTGCATGACTTCTGTGTTTTCTCAATGACAGGTATAAACGTGCCATAGCTCATCCTGGCCGTGTGACGCTGTCCTCTCCTTATTTGGATATGGGTGGGGCCGGTTACATCATCACACTCAGCCATGTTGTCTTTCAGGGAAGGTGAGGCCTCCCATTGGAATCATGCATATGCAAAAGGCAGAAACAGCACAAAGTCAGTTAAAGGATGCGTTTTCATATTTGCCACTGGGTAACCACTCCGCAGTGTTGAAGTAAGAGTTACGCTAAAACATGACAAGCAAAATAGCTTTGCAAGATTTTTTGAGAGGGTCTTCAGCAGATGAATGTTTGCACATCGCCAGTCTAGATCAGGACAGGCCCCTCGTCGTGTTGGATGTACCTTGAAGTGTCAGCCTCTGTGCACAATTACTAGTCCTTGATGGTTTATCTGAACAGCTGGTGGCTTAATGCTTCGGCCAAGATTAATATGCAGATGTTCCGTTCTGTGGTTAGATAGTTTTGCATAATTGCAAATGGTCCTGCTGACGCTAAGTGTGGGCATCTGTTGTTAAAAAAAACAAACATCTTGGCATTGCCAACAGGAGTGATGGCACGCACGAGGAGACGGACCATGTGGTAGGCATCATGGGCATTGATTTTACCATCCGCTACTTCTACAAAGTCCTCCTGGAAATCATGCCCATCTGCAAGGAGGAGAACGTTCGCTGTTTTGTCATGGATGACAGGGGATATCTCATAGCCCACCCGAGGCTGGTGGAACCGGCTAGCAGGGGACCAGTCGAGCAACAGCACATAACTCACCAAGTAAGCATTTTGTCTCAATCAAATCTCACTCAGTGTCACTTATTGGTGTCGGACGGTGGTGCAAAGTCTGAATCAGGGTCTTTATTTGCTCTGAATTGTTTACTTCATATTATTCAGAAGATTGCTTTCGTTTTGGTACTGCCATAGGTAATCAGTTGGTCTGTTTTCGGTGGAAATAGAGTAAAATCAGATGAGAAGCATTCCAGAAAATAAAAAAACCAACTGAACAAAAAAGGATGTCCCCATATTACCCCTTGCACAAACCTGTATGTGACGTATGCCAATTCTTGATATAACATGGCTGACTAAGAATACAGGTACTTTCTTGTAAGCACATCTGCCAGAGCACGGCGCTCAGTGATATCCTTGCCATGGTTCTCCTATCCCTCAAGGAAATCTTGGTGTCCAATGACATCCTGTACCACTCCCATTTGGTGAAGAAACTGCGTTGTAACAACTACGAGGATCGCACCATCCAACGCTACTACTCCTTCAACACCAGCCTGGTCGGTGTCCTGTCCAACCTGTACCACGGCGAGTACTGCAGCAAGTACCGCATTGTGCCGGTGCCGGGCACCAACGCCTTTGTGGGCGTGGTCAACGATACCTGCAGCGAGGTGACCACGTTCTGTCCTTGCAGCATGGTGAGTGGTCAGTTGGTGGAAGTCTGTGTGTTGCTTTTGAGCAAGACGTATTCTGTATAGAGAAGCTCATGTTCCGTTTTTAAAATTTTTTGGTCACATTAGTATGACCGTCTATGCCTGAATTGCAACCGGATGGAGCAAACGGAATGCGAATGCCCCTGTGAATGTGAGCTAGAGTTGGACCACTGCCATGGCACACTGCAACAAGGGGAGGATAGGTAGGTACTCTGAGAAAGGAGGAGGATGTGATTGCAGTATAGGCATATAAATGGATTGGAAGGGGGTTGGGTGCTAGACCACCACGAGGGGAAGATTGGTTGGTGCATTTATTGTGGGATATAAAGGGGGTATGATGGCAATGTAGGCATGTGAATGGATCAGAAGGGGGTTGGGTGCTAGACCACCACGAGGGGAAGATAGGTTGGTGCATTTATTGTGGGATATAAAGGGGGTATGATGGCAATGTAGGCATGTGAATGGATCAGAAGGGGGGCTGGGTGCTAGACCACTACAAAAAGGGAAAGATAGATGGGTGCCTAGAAGGGGTATGATTGCCACGTAGACAGCAATGAAAACTTGCTTGCATGAATAGGAATTCATAAATGAAAGACAGGAGTGGCATACTCTTGTCAACCATTAAATGAATATGTATTAGGATTAATTACCATATTCATAACAGGAATCCCAGTTGCTCTGATAAGGAGGAGAATGCTAGCCTTCCTGTGACAGACGACAGCATCACCAAGGATCTACCACAGTGCTTGAAGTACAACTGCAAGAAAAGGAAGACATTCAAGTATGGATTGCTGTCATTTAAAAAAAAGGGAAATTTCACCGTCGGTGATCAGAACTTCCTTGATGTTGTGATAATACAGGGCTTTCCGGAGATCTCAAAACACTTTACAAGTGCTGTTTAGTTCAGGAAGACAGACCATTTAGCGTCCAGTATCAATGCAGATGCTTCTTACGGGGACCCGTATATTCATGCTCACCGAGAGGGGCAATTGGGAGTAACGCGACTTGCTCAAGGTTGGGAAGATGTGACTAGCTGCCGGATTCAAAACCCAGATCCTATGATCCCTACCACCACTTGCCAGCTCTTGCTGGAAATCTTCTTGACACCTGCAATTTCAACTGGCGCACGGGAAACCACAACCGTCCTCTCTTTCAAGTGCTCACAAATTAGACAGTTAATAATCTTCCTTAGAAAAGGAATCAGGGTCAGTAACTTGCTGAAAAATGCGGAGGTGTTAAAAAGTTCTCTTTGAATTTGTATCTGTAATTATTTTCTCTGTGCCTTGTTTTAGGGATTGTTTTGGTGTGGTCGACTGCGAGTGGTGTGTGGCTGCTTCCACCTCTCAGAATAAACTCAGGAAGCTGGCCGCGCCTTACTGTGCCACTCAGCGAGAGTGCTTCGGGGGAATAGTCGGGGCCAAGTCGCCGTACGACGATGAGATAGGTCAGTCAAATTAGACTGTCTGATGTATTCAAATTGCACAAACCTGGATGAAAAGTAGGCAATCTTGTCTGACATAAATATTTTTAACCGTGTCCAAATTGTCTTTGTTAGGAGAGGCAGGTGGGCACGTGTTACTTTCCCTGCCCTCCGTATCTGTGATCCAGGTTCGATTCCAATCTGGGCCAGTGAACTTGTGTCTGTGGGTTTTCCATGGAATCTCTAATAGGTTGTGCATGGCATAACAAAAAGCACTGACCTGAAAGATGGCTGCTATGCAAAACCAGAAGTTTTTTTCTGCCACCTTCGAAGCTGAATAATTCTTTGTTTTAGGGCTTAGTACTTAGTGCATTTTTGGAAACTTGTTGGATCCATTTCCACAAACACTTAATTAATTTTGGCACTTTGTGTGAGGTTCGATTGTATATATGAGATGTCATGCATTTAAGGTTCTTGCTCAATAACTGAATGCTTTGAGTTTATGGTCATTTGTTTGCTTTGCCACCAGCCATCGACAGCCAAACCACTCCCTTCGAGGCCCACAAAGGTGCCCAGGTGGGTCCCGTAGCTGGAGCCTTCATGGGGGTCATCATGGCTCTGGCCCTGGTCATCTACGCCTACCGCCACCACGTCCACAACAATGCTCAGCGCCGGCGGGAGCTAGCCCAGAACGGCTCAGACGCGTCCGTCCGGATGTCCCAGGGGGAGGGGGAAGGGGAAGGGGAAGAGGAGGCGGGTAACGACAACCAACCCCCTGCGCCAGGAGCGTGTAAGTTTGGCTGACTGATTTATCTCCCTTTGAAAGTCTAGAAACTAGCTCCGCAGGTGATTGCCACGTGCAGTGTTAAAGGACGTTCGCTGCCTAATGCACTCGTAGGCACTGACCACATAAGGTCACTTTAGTCAACCTCAACTCCGTGGGCGGAGTTCCTTTGAAGATCGCAAAGGTAATGGTGCTGGGAACGAACATGGCGCGACAAGATCGTACCCAACAGGGTTGCACTTTGATGCACTGCAGTTTCTGGATGGCGCTATTTGAAAATGTTAATGAACGGCCAAGATATAGCATCTTCAAGCCACTCTGTTGTCTGACAGATGCACTCCCATTGCACCATCACCATGTTGGAATAGAAGTGAGGCAGCACTTGCAACTCACTGTCTAGGGTAACAACTTGCCAATCCAGCTTCTCTTTTAACCTGACTTTCCGAAAGAAATGAGTCATGGCTACGCTAATGACAGAAAAAGTTTTTTTAAGACCATCAAAAATATATGCATTGCATTAGTCACATTTTTATTATTAATTGATTGTTTATACTTTAGAACAAACCATTCAGGTTCCAAATCTCAGTTGTGGTGTACACTAAATTTTTTATCTCGAACGCACATCGTTGTAACTCATAAAAGTTATGTTGACTCTTTCTATTGATATTGGAGTATTTGTGTTCTTGCTCAAGTTACGACAGTCCAAGTCCAAAAACTGGAAACATACGGACAGTACCAAAAGCAGACAGTAAGAACCACATTGTGATATTGTCACCTGTTGCGATGAGGGAGATGCAGTGACATGTGTGGAACCCCCCATGATTTAAACACAAGTTGCAGTCATGTGAAGCCAAGGAATTTCAGTTCGGTTTTTAATATTGAACTTTCAGTTGGACATGCCAACATCCTCTTGGCTGCCTTGAACCAGCCCAGTCCCTACCACCAGCGAGCTCGCTATGGCATCCGCGTCTGGCGCCACCGTCCGGGGGGTACGCCCAGCGAGAGTGACCACGGCTACAGCACCATGACCCCCCATGAAGACTCGGAGTACCAGTACGTGGAGCCTGAGCCTATCCTAGTCCACGTGGAGCCAGACCGACACGACATTGATCCGCCCCCGGGAACCCTGCGGGTCAAGCGGCCCAGGTCCTCAGCCCCGACGGCCACCTTATTAGACCTGTCGCAGGGGGAGGGCACCCCTCAAGGAGCTGGCAATCTACCCCCGAGGCTGGATCCCCCTCCGCAGACGGTCATCCCAACCCGGAGGTCCCTAGTCAAAGCCCAGGTACACGCCATGGACACGGTGTGCTAGTCAGAGTCTTGTAGCCTCCTACTCGGCGGCTGCGTGTATTCATAAAATAACCACCATGCAACTCACCGGTCATCTTGTATTCACCTGGTCCCACAGAACGACCCACAACTCAAATGGCCCAAAGCGACAGCATGTGCGGCGTATCAATTATGAAGAAGTTGTACCAATCAGGCTTATTGACAAGTGGTTGTCAGATACCATAATAAACTCACCGATAGCCACCAGTGCTTCAAACGTTCGTAGATCTGTTCTGGCTTGTACACCATACCAATCCAAGCATTTTTGACCAGGCAAGAGTCTGTCCAAAACCTCTGGCCTACACCTGCCCTTGAGTCATGCTGTCCATTTCAAATTTTTGTTCTGCCAAAGATTTATTAATGAATGAATGTAATGACCTTTGACCCGCATTGGACCATTGCCAAAGATTCATTAATACTAGAAAAATGCAAAATTGGAGGGAACCTTAATTTTTTTTAAATTGCATTGATACTGTGTATCTTAAGGGCTTATTTATTGCCAAAAATATGGACCTTTTTGAGAATAAACCTAGAACCTTTTCCATAGCTGCCATAAAATATAACGGGTGAATTAATCATGCATATTCATATACGTGTATATGTTTATTCATAGTTTTAAAAACCAAAGCATATCCATAGCAATGGCCTGTCAGCCATTCTGTCAATCAGCATTTCATATCATAACAAGGCATCAAAATTCAACAGATTTCTAAAAAGTTTTTGTTTGTGTTTTAGACATTTTATCTCAGAACTTGCTCATCAGTTCTTACATTGGACATTATTATTAAAAGATGTTTTAAGTTTCTGTTGTAAATTATGTACATATAAACTGTAGAGATTTATAATTAGCTCAAAAATTAATCATTCTTAGCATCATGTGATCTGATGAGGAAAAAAATACCATCGAAAGCGTTTGTGTGAACATTGGTGTATATATATTTGTATTCAGGATGTGATTACAAACAAAATAAGTGATTGAAGGCACGATCTCAGGTAAAAGAAAGTGAACCTAAATTTAAATGTAGAAATTACTTGGAGAGTTTGGTCTCTGTTCTTCTAGGCTGCTGTTAGGCTGGAGTTTTGTTCTAGCGATGGAGCCGACCAAATCTGGTCAGTGCTTACTCCAACAACACTTTGTAATTGCCACACGTTACCGGGGTTGTCTTTTGCTTCACATCTTGATCGATTTCCTCCTTTCCATATCCTGTTTTTAAGGTCTGCATATTCAATTACCACAGCATCTGCAGGTTCACAGGGATACAGGTGTTGAATCAACACCTGTATGACTACATCACTTGAAGTGGACCGTTGCAGGCTTTGCCAGACCAGTGACCATAATTTGGCATCAAAAACAACAGAAGGTGTCAGAAAGAAAGTGTTGTATGGCCTATTGACAAATGCTGAGGCGATTGGTCTCGTCTCGATTGAAAGATGGAATTGTCTTCTGTAAACTCACCTGTGGAAATTTGCTTCTTGCAGTCGAATGAGCACATGAAAAATTTCTAAGTGAAGGTAAAATAGGACATGCTAAGGAAAGGTTTCCTTATTTTTGTACATGTTTTCAGGTGTATTGGCTAGGGCTACGACTCTGTCCTATTACACCACTGTTATCCATAGCCTAAACCACTGACACAAATTTACCAGGTATTTGAATATTTCTAACTGTCCTGATACAACGATATCCATGCATCAACCCACTGAATAAGTCAAGTTCTGCATCCAGACCAATAGCATATTGTTCAAATATTAAATCAGTATTTTATAATACAAACTTGACAACATTTTATGGAACGATTTTTGTAATAGGAAGACCGAGTACTTGAGTGGTGTTATTGTGCCAAAATGATGTGTGATTAAATGATGATTATACTCAAATCACTGCCAAATGCTAGTTGATTTTTAGATAGTCCTACCAGCACGAGAGCTGTTGGCTCACTAAAATTCAGATTTTTTAAAGAAAAATGTAAATATGTAAATACACGTATTAAAAATGCTTCCCTTTTTAGTGCATAAATAATTGCAGCCATAGCAGCCTTTTGACTGTAGGATTGTCACTAATCACGCCATGTTATGCAGAATAATTTAGACTTCAGACAAATTTTCCATGCTGTGACCATCTTGTGTACAGATGAGATTTTCTCTGTCAGAATTTGTCATCAGATGTTCTCTGAAGTTCTCGGTGTAGTGCCAAGATGCTAGCCTGTATATTGACTAAAAAAAATGCTATGGTCCCTATTGTTGTCTCAGACCACTTGTCCCATCGCTTAAAAAAATGCGGCCAGTTATGCAGGTTGTTCAATGTGCAGGAATTTAAAATTGCACACATGAATGGCACAGTGGCTGCATCCGAATCTGTTGTCTAGGGCTACGTCTAGATCTTCGCTCCATTGGAAATGTGTGGAAACGCGTAGACAACAGACCTAGCCGTAGCTCTGGAAGCCCATTTCGGACACGGCCTTATAATGGTAATAGCATACCAGCATTTGTTCTTTCACCATTTAAACTCTGTAATAAAATACGACTGGGAACTGGCCTGCCAGTGCCCAACTTGTTAGGCTTCACTGCTTTCTCTTTACTTAGTACACAACCATTAATGGATGCCTTAGTGCTTGCATCATTTGTTTCCCTGGGAATTATGAATGTGAAGTCAGGGGACCTGACCAAGATGGTCGCAGTATGGAATAACTGAAAGCGGAAATACTCTTGGACCATCTGTTTTTATATATGAATAATTTTCCACAGTACCATTTTTGTATCAAGTATTTATTATGATGGGGTATCCAAGCAGTGTGTATTACATCATGCCAAAGACGCTGGGTGTTTTCGTATGAATCAGTACGTACCATTTTGTATGTTATTGTCATGCTGCAGTAGAATATTGTGCCTATTTAGGTAGCTATGAACTGTATGGTCAGTAACTTGTAAACATCTCTCGGATAAAAGTGGAGATGGAAAGAACGATGCTGTCACAGGTGCTTTGTTAGAGGTAGAGCCCCCCCCAACTACTTACTGTTGCCCAAGTTCTCTCGGTCCGAAATTTCGAAATGCTCTTGAAAGAAGCTAGACCGGGAGAAGGTTTGTGGGTGCACCATTTAGAGTCGATCTCCTCCACGAGTGGTGGTTCTGAATACCAGTGAGCGAGACTTGGCGTTTTGACCAGGGTGTTCCGGTCATAGTCGGGAGAGATGCTGGACTGGAGTGAAGCACTGGCATACATTTTCCTCAGATGCGTGCGTTGTTTCCAGCCCCTAATCATTTAGACTTGGCCGCGTTCAGGGTGAATCATGCGAGGTCAAGGTTGAAATTGGCTAATTGCTTTGTGTACATGTATGTGTCCAAAAATAAAGCCTCCGCCGTGAAAAGTTGATTCTGATGCAGTATGATGTTAGGACAATGTCATTTGGGATTACTGCACCTTGTAGGATTTTGGGAGATTTGTGAGGACTACAAGAAAAAAGCCATTATCGCCCTCACAGATAGCCAGTGTTTCCCTTCCAGCTGACATCTTCAGCTTAAAAGCCACTTTGATCACCTCGCTTGTCTTCTCATAGGCTTCAGTGAGTAGTAATGACACACGAGGAAACAAGAAAAGGAAAGAAGCTGCGATTTCACTCCGGAAACGACATTCTCAAATAACACCACCTGCTGTGAAACTGAAGTGTGTGTATTCAAAGGAGAACCGTAGAGAATAGAAAGCTGTAACACGGCATGCTCTTTTTGTATTACCCTCCAAGAAATATGGAGAGAGTACGAAGTATGAAGGAAACCAGCACCACTGACAATTTATTTGGGCCACAATCTGCTAAAACATTTGTCCACAGACACCGAGAGACTTTTCTTGGGTTTTTAATAATTAGAATGTCTCACATTAAAATATGTCCCCAAACTGTACCCTGACATTCTTTGCATGTGACATGCTGTCATTGTTTGAAAGGAAGTGTGACAGTATTGTTTTATACACCAAAAATGCACTCATGAATGAAAGTAGAAGTGTCTGTGTAGGTCCACAGCTTGAGTTTTGGATACTTTAGTTTCCTTGTTCTGGAGATGTCTCTTGTGTCATGATAAAACACAGATTCGAAGCTTCAGAGTGATCATCCGAGACTTTGGATCCCTCTTGCATTATCAAGCAATGCCGCTTTCAAAGGGAACATTTTGATGACACTAACTTATGATGCTGGGAATGATATAAATATGACTGATGACGGAAAAGGAACTTTTTAAAAATGTCAAAGGATGAATGGCCATGACCTACTGCAGGGGTGAGATTGACCAATGATAAAAATAGCTGAAAACAGCCGAAAAAAGGCGTAAAAAGGCTGAACTGTGAAAATCTCCTCTACTTTTGTACACGGCTAGTGAGGGGAAAAAAGCTGAAATCCAAAGCAAAGAAAGCTGAAATCAGCTAAAGAGAAATCTCACTCCTGCTACTGTAACCCTCTCCCTTTGCCTACACTGCCAGTTGACACAGCTCACTACCAGGTTTGCAAATTCATTAAAAATGCAAATATCTAATCTTTTTATTTCAAATCATAAAAACTGAATACAACTACTGCTTCTCTTCAACTTTGCAATGCTAACAATTACAAGCAATAAAATCCGTACTTGGGTGGAGGGTAAACTTTGAGCACATATTACTTATTGTACATTTAAAAATGTCTTTGGACAATGGAAAAAACACTGGAATGAATATTCTTGTTTGGAATGCCAGAATGTTTCAAAATTGTAAATCCAAATGTTAAAGCTTGCAGAAAAAAAACCCACTTGGCTGACACTGACGGAATACCGAGTAACAGTTACAAACACTTTTTCGCCTTGATATGAATTATGAATGAAAATTTCAACACTGATTTTAAAATCATTTGGAATTGTTGCTTGAATATGGAATTGTACTCGTAAATTTATCTGACACAATCCTGAACTAGGATGGAATTTAAACAAAAATTAACAGACTTACTTTGGCTTTCAACTGCCTTTAAATAATAAACCATGCAAACCGTGTAACAAAGCTATACAAATAATATGATATCAACCTCAATGACCCACTCAGCTGTCCCCTAATCTGCAGGCACAAAATGTAGATTTTGCAGATGTAATAACCAGCTCTGATATAATGTTGCCTACTGCATGTAACCGTGCCAACTGGTTGTCATGGTAGCATCTTGCTAGTAATAAATAACAAAGCTGCTTCTAATACTGTCCATTTCAAATGTCCGGGCGACTAAGGGAAGTGCATGACTGTCGCCAAACAGTGCACAGTTGTAGCCTATGAAATATTTATGTGCAATGCAGATGAGAAATAAACCAAATGGTGCATGCGTTACCAGTATGTTGGTATGAAAAGTAAGTCGTTGAAAGTACCTGTACAGCTATTTCAAGCTAATAAATGGGTGAAGATCTTGACAACGTTCAGAAACCATCTGTGACATTCTCTCGCTGTAACTGTGCCCTACAAGATGATGGTCTTGTTACCAAAATAAATCCGATCTCCCCAGCTGAAATATGGCTGCACGCCCCTTGTAGACTTTCAAAGGTACATATTATTTTTCTCGGTCTGACTGTGCAAAAACATGATTGACAATACCCATTATACAATCCTTAAAAAATTTAAACGGCAATCTTTTTTTAAGTGTTGTAGAAAAATAGACGTGGCATGAGTTATTTCAAAATTTTCTCACAATTTGGCGGCTTGAAATTTTGCCCACAAATTAAATACAAACATTAACTTTTGAATTGCAGAATGGGATTTTTTTGTAACTGCACAAGGTTATATCATGAAACATACTGTAACAAATATGGAACAGAGGGAACAGTTTATCATTTCCTGATAGCAGCAAATCAGGCCAGGAATAATTGTCAACATCCATCCAAATGGTAACAAAGGAAGTGACTGCAACTGAAGCTCGGATAATTCAAGGAACTTTTCAAAATATACCTCAGACAATGGGTACCGTCTGAATCTGTTTTTGTTTGAAAATATGGAAGGAATGAACATTTGGTCATATAATGTGCATAGGTTTAACTTTGATATGGAGGGCAGACTGGCATGTTATTTGACCACTAAGGAAATAAGAAAATAAATCCCAGTAGACCCTACCCAAGCATGACTACCCCGCAGTATATATGAAATGGAGAAAAAAATAGGAACGGCATAAAGACAAAAAATATGAAATCCTATTAAATTAGGAACAATATCATGGGCGGACAGAACGCTCGGGGAACAAAGGATGTCCTCAGAGGTGAGTCTATTGTCCTCAATGGTAAGTATTCGTACCTGTACATCTGCCTTAGATTATGAGAGAGTGTTGCACTGTAGGAATAACAGGAAACAAAATGCCCCAGTGACACTATAAAATAAGACTTCATACATGTACATATACAGTACACAAATTCCACACATGCTAGTTCATATTAGTTATTACTGGTGAAGATATATAAAAAATAGCTAACTATGATAATTTGTAAGTACATGTAAATGTGATGCAAGATACAATATCTCATCCAACATTTTGTTTTTAGCACCTTCAGCTCCAATTTTTTGTTACAGCAACATTTCTTTTGGGGCACCATAAGAAATCTTTATTTCTTCTAATCTCTGACCTAATGACATCTTTTCCCACGGCAATTAGCAAAAGTTTCGAAAGCAATACGATCTAACCCTCTGTCCCGTCATAAAAACTATCTGAATACATGCACAGCACTTAATAATTAGTCTTGTGAAAACAGACGATATTCATGTATCAATGTCACGTTTAAAGCACCTTCTGTTTCCGTCACCTTTCAACTCTAAAAACAATTTGTGACACACCATGCTCTACCACAATATTTCCCAACAGGGAAATGAAGTAGTTTCTACTCTGTCCAATAAAGGGCTCTGAACTGCATGTACAAAATTCTTGAATACAAACTTTAGAGCGTTGAAATTAAGGATGTCTTGGCTGCGATAATTCAAAACAATAGTTTGCAATATGACGTGTAAATAGCAGGCTAAAGATTTGCTTGTCTATTCAACAACTGCCTGGCTAAATGTGCTTGATCATGCAGGCTAGATTCATGTGCATTAGTTTAGGCATGTTTAAGCAACTACCAGCAACAATGGCGTACATCCTGGTCTGTTTAAGTATCAATGCATAACTTAACACAAAGGAATCGTACGACATGATAAACGAGACTAAGAGAAGTCACTACCTCTCCAACCTACTAGTAAGTCTAACCCTGAAAGTCCCAAATCCTTTAATTCCTATGTCAGTTTTCAAACCTTCAGGGGTTTCATGGTTTAAAAGGGGGCACCATGCCCCCATGTCACCCCTCAATTTTCCCCAGATTATGCTGGCGTTTATCTATCTTTGAGTTGCTATATAAAACCCTGTAATTTAAATGTCAGTGCAGATCAACAGGCCTACCACTAGATGGAGGGTGTAGCAACATCTCAATTGACGAAGTGTAACTTACAAGGGCATTCCAGATATATACTCTATCAAAAACACATCTGGCTAGATCTACACACAAGGACAAGCAGTACACTCTTAATGTGTTTGCAAGAGGAGTCATGATCTCATTTTTTTAGCTGTGGGTCGTACACTTGTCTCCTGCTGCCGTAAGATATACCAGACCGGTTGGCCCCCTGATTGGTGCCCATCTGCAAACCGATGACATTCTGGCCGGCCTTCAGCGTCTCCTCCGAGAACTCTCGCTTGTTTTCTGAGGAAGGCTTGGCGCCAAAGGTGGGCCCCCGGAAACCAATCTGCTGAGCCTGGCCGGACAGCGAGCAAAATGTAACATGTGTGGTGAGAAGCGGAAATCAAGTCTAGCACCCTTCCACCAGTACCTTTCTTGCACCATAACCGGGGTGGCTAATTCAACAGGCACCCTAGGCCCTATGCCATAGTCATACAAAAAATTTCAGGCTTCCAACAATTTGGGCCCTACAACAAAATTTGAGGCCCATAAAGTATCACACACAGTTTTCAAAACTTTCAGCATCCCTCCTTTTCAGTAAAGCTTAGGAATGAATCTCTTAGTGTCATTGTACAATATGAGGCTTCAGAGAAATGAAATTGATACTGGGGTCTAACGTGAAGTTGAGCTTGAACGACTGATTTGCATATTGGGTTAAAGGGACACCTACATGTACATGTAATCCAGCCCCAACTATCACTGTCAAGGGACACCAAGCCCCACGCAAAGCAGAAGTGACTGAGGTCTACCTTTTCGTCCATCTTACACATTCCTACAAAACAGGTGGATTTTGAAGGATCTGAAAGAGTAAGGGTCAATGACTCAAAATTCACAAATGTTTGAACTCCTCCTCAGTTACAACTGCCAAACTTGATGGAAATTGCCGCTTCCGATTGCTATTTCATAGCTTTCACGTGGAGAATTTACTTACTTTTCGGCCCAAAGCTTCCAACCCCGTCAGAACCTACAATGGGAAAGAAAGGGTAAAGTTTTTGATACTGCGTTGAAGAGATAATTCGATGAGTAAAACTTTTGAGTTTGATCTCAATAACTGAGGTGATGAATGATAACAGGTGAGTTGCATTTCTTAGCTCTGAGAGAATTTATTTGAATGAATAAAGTTAACGGTGAAAGGCATTACTTTTTTAACGGATGAAATTGCAAGGAATATCTTTCACTCTTAAATCCATGATTTTTTTCTTGGAAGGGGTTAGGAGGCGGAGGGTCCTCATGGAGGGGGTGAGGAACTTACACTGTTCATGTTACGTCCCTCGAACAAGTCCACGGTCTGGAACAGATCTGCTTTTTGTACGCCAATGCTCTCGCACGCTGTCAAGAAGTTACCAATGTTCTCCATCTGACAGTATGTGAACAGTTACATACATCAATACGGATTTATAACAATTTATAGATTCTTTGTATTTTGACAAATTTTGTACCACTGCAAAGTTGTCTTTTGGTGCTTCACACTAAGTTATCAACTGAAGGGCACAGCTGAAACCCATTATATCACTTTCAGAGTGACCCACTGCAACCTTCTTTCTTACCATTTTGAACTCCATTTTGCTGTCATGAATCTTCTTGACGCTTCTGGGACTGATCACATTTATCAACCTGCAAAACAAGGCAATGTGAAACAAATAAGAGAAATATACCGCCCTAGCCCAGATACCATACTGGCTACAGCGGCTTGGTGCCCCAACTTTCTTGAAGTTTGTAATATGCGCCAATGCCATTTGTTTATTCCCCCTTCCGTCACAAACTGCCAAAAATGCCACTTACTGCCACTGCTTTATTTATACACAGGCCAGTCACCAACAGTCACATCATAATTCTGGTTGGTCATCGTATGACCAGTCACATTCCAATATCAAAAGACAATTTTTTTAAGGAGATGATCGGGACATGAACATGTACATGTACATGTAGCTGACTTATCAATCATCAACAGTCGAAGAACAGAGCTATTTTGAGTTTTACTGACAGTCACAGCCATCCAGTGCTGCTTTCTTGGTTGATTTTGACTGAGAGGACAAATTTGTCAAAAACAGATGTTTGCACAGGAGGACTTACACTGTACTAGGTTGGAATCTAGAGGATTTAAAAAGCAATATATACATGTATATACAAAGGGCTAAATTCAGACGGAAAAAAATCCAGAAACTGACATCCAAATATGACTTCCTCATGTTTTCTTTCTCCACTACATGTATGTGTCTGGTCACTCACCATGCTCACATGTACGTGTACGGTACACAAAATGCTAATGTGCACTAAACTTTACTGAAATTTATGTGCTCTAGAGGTTAACCTTTCCGGTGACATATTTGATCATTTACTTGCACAGAATGACGCCATTCTTCAAGGCAGCAGAGAAGTTATCCCATCCACTCTCCACCGGTTCAAGTTCTTCCCCTGTAATGGCTTCAATCCATGCCCTGCATTCAAGCTCCTTGTCAAGTCTTTCGGCATAAGTGGCTCTGGACTGAAAAAAACAAAAATTGGAACCAAATTTTTTCAAAAGGGCAATTTAGAAGACCTTGGAAAAGGAAACCGTAAACATTATACAACTATGACAGGAAAACTGAATACATTACTTTCGAATGTTTCTTATTTATTAGCTAGTGACGTGTGAGGTCACAAGTTTTATTTTCTTGTGCTCATTTTAAGAAGTTTTTACAAAAACGAACCACAGTTTCAAAGAAGTACACATGGGTAAACTCTGACTCAGACCATCTTAGGCAAACAAAAATGGAGTCAAAGTTCGCTGATAATTGACTGTTTGTGCCAGTCACAAACACACAGTGTCATTATCCACAGTATTCCCATGTTGCATTTACAAGTATGTAAAAAGGTTCCGTTTCCATGAAAAATGGATACACCAACCCACATTCATTAAAGCCCACCACATGCGCATTGAGCAATAGCAACTGAACAATGTGTCCAGGTGGGGGGGGGGAACATTTCACATGACACCAGCAGGACATACATGTAAGGACACATATCAGGCATATGATGGTGGTTCATGTACATGTATGGAAGATGAGGAAAAGTAGGAGGAGCTACAGTCTGGTGTTTGTTGAGTCATGGTTGATTTCAGTCTGCATACAAGTACAGGTAGCGGCAGGACTGAGACATCAAGTTAACCTGCCATACATGTACAGGTACATGTACCTGCAGGACTGAGACATCAAGTTAACCTGCCAACCCAGCTCCATACACTGTACATGTACATCAACCTGCTCAATCCAGAGGAATGTGTCAATGAATGTGCACAGCATTGCAACAGGGAAAAGCCAAGCAGGTGTATTATCTAAGGGTCTATGTGCTCAAGTCCCACTGTGTAGGCCTAAACAACAGTGTACAGTACTGTACATGTACGTGTACAGTGCTGTACATGTACATGTACAGCACTGTACATGTACATGTACAGTGCTGTACATGTACATGTACAGTGCTGTACATGTACATGTACATGTACAGTGCTGTACATGTACATGTACAGTGCTGTACATGTACATGTACAGTGCTGTACATGTACATGTACATGGTAAAAATACAATGTGTGGGGTAGAAAATATGTCTGCCACCCAGTCAAGTTGACAAGTTTTCCCCAAGGCTTTGCCTGGTACACGGTTTGAGTGCAGTTGTGCCTTTTTAAAAGTCAATGGCTGGAATGTGCAAATTATTAACTGGTGTACTTGACACCCTGACAGGTCCACACACAGACCGATGCAAGGAAACTGACCCCTTGCACTTGACATACCAGCCGACACAAAAGGCAGCCCTACCCTACCCAAGGGCTATGTCAATAGGTGATGCCACCCCAAAAAAACTTGAGCCAACAGAGAGCAAGTGTAATGCAAATGGGGGATTAATAGTCAAGAGGTATTTATAACCTCTGGTCCAAAGTCTTCATGTTTCACCAGGGAATAAAAATTGTGCTATTCACATTTTCACTCAAATGACTCAATTTGACAAAATGACTTCTAACAAAAAGAAACACATCATTGACAAATACATGTACTTTGATTATCTCTGGTAAAAGGTAATGGTAACCATGGTAACGATGATGCACAATTTGAAAAAGCAGCTCCCCCACCTTCAAGGAACCATCCTCAATCTAACAGGATTTAACAACAGCTTGTTTACAAGGATATGCTAAATCAAATTTTGTACATCAAGGGTGTGTCCATATTACTAGGTCTGCTGTATGTTGATGTCATGGTCATATTTTTCCTACTCCAACAAGTGGATGCTTATTTAACTATAGCTGGCCATCAGTACAAAGGTAAAAGAACAATTGACAAAGTATTCAACATCCCACGCAGCTATTAGAACACCTGATATTACCACTAAATACTACATGAACATACATGTACATCTACGACCCTATTTAAGATGAATGATACAAATCTCCATTTTGAACGAATTTGACATAAAATTGAAAACTAACCAAAACATGATATTTGTGCAAACTTTGGTCACTGATAAAAGTGGTACTTGTAGGCAACATGAGAACATTGGTCTTTTCCAGGAATAAAAACTTGGAGGTGAACCTACAGTGTAGAGTATGGCTCATAAGGCTGGGCTTCAAAATAAATACTGGGATTCTGCCTAGACCTACATGTACGGTGTACCAGGACTGCAGAGCAGAGAGAATATAAACAACAGTGGAACAGTTCTCTTTGGAAAATTAACAGTGAGCTTCTGGCACCGAGCACCTTCATCTGGGGGAAATATGGCTAGTTGTGATGATAAATGACACATTCATATCATCGTAATCTGCCGATCAGGCACAGATTTGGGCAAACAATGGGTATTTTGAGGTAATATACATGTACTTGCTGTCAGCCTACTTGACTTTTTGTAATTTCCTGCAATGTAAACAGGTTTGCCTGTCACTACATCACAGAAAGGATCATAAATGCTCAATGCAAAGACCTGCTTCCCTGAATACACAATGGCTCTACTATTATTGACATGTTATGAAGGAGCATTCATGAAGGAGCATTCATGCAGGCAACCAGGCACAAACAAGGTATGCAGTTTTCCCCTCTAGTACCCAGCCAAGAAGAATATTGAACTCCTGTAACCTTCAGCAACCTGTTGCACTCAGGGTTTTTAAAATGTCTGGTTCTCAAGTCACAGGTCCACTTTAGACATTGAGCCAAACTCAACAGTGTGACATGAACGAAGAGTGCATGCATGTACAGTACATGTAGTTATGCGCAACCAAGCAAAAGCATAATTATTCCAGCTCTTATCAAAAGTACAGTATGCAATCTGTGCTTACATGTAAAATCATGCGCGGATGTTTTTTATGTTCATCCAACTGAGCTTGGTTTAAAGTTTAATATGACACTTCTCTCTAGGCTTCAAGGCTGAAATTACCAGTAAAACATTTCACATCTACTGGTAATTGTCTTTATTGAATTGTAAGGGAAACCTCCATTCGGGCCTCTCACTGTCTCCTCTCTACAGGTTTCTTCACACTTGTGAGCTACAGTGTTTTCAAAGAATACTTGGTTTAATTACCAGATTTAAAATAATAATACTATTTTATCAATTTTTGGCAACCTTTCAGACTAGCACACATATGCATCCAAGGATCACTCAAGAAGGTATGGCTTTTTACGTTGGTCCTGCCTTCTTGACAATAGTATGGTGCCAGGTGAACCTTGACCCTGGCTCCTCCTAGTCAGTCTGAACCAAAATTTCAGTTCTATCCCTGCAGAATGTATCGTCACTGACCCAGTTCCTTAGGTGGGCAGTCCTTGTTCCATTTATCCAGTTCTTCATATGCCGGACGTACCAGTTACTCAATGAACTGGTACATATTGGTACATGTACCGTCTTCATGAACAACAAAGTCTTGTGAATTAAACATGTACTTATCAGTATCAGTGCGTACTTCAACAAACATCTTCAACAAAAATCTTCATTACACAATAGATCGGAGTGCACTGATTAGAGGATTTCCAGCCAGTTACTTTCCGCTAAATAAAAGGCTTTGCAAACTAAAGCGAAAATGAAACAAACCGATAAAGCACAACACAACTAAATGACTCATGAAAAGATTTCTACACAAAATGGTATCTGCATTTTCCTTAGTTTGAGCTTCAACTTTTCCACAAGTTACAACTTCCCTCAATTGATTTGGAGGGCGTTTTCAAGGTTTCCAACCAGGGACAGAGCTGCCATCTGAGGTCATGACACACTTGAGCTTATGTCCTCCTGTGTACATGTAATCCTTTCACTATTACAATAATGTATAACTTTCAAAATGTTCCTCTCAAAATTAAAGTGAGCTTGATGCAAATTAATCTGGGCAACCTCAAGAGCAAAAATGCTGACTGGGTTACCTGCACATTACAAAAAACTAAGTTACAAAAACTGCATCAGAAGAGAGGCCCTTGACCAGCAAATCACTAGACTCGGTCCAGTAGTCAGCTGGTATTGTCCGTTCATGGTCTCACTCTCAGATAACTGCACCATGGAGCGAGGCCATAAAAGAGAAACATCACTTAACAGGTTATTTACTCCATTCATCAACTAACAAGAATAAAACACCTCAGAGACTTAAAAGTGAGGTAGCCACCTCGCCAAGTCCTGCTTCGGGAAGTTCAGTGTCACTGAGAACGTGATGCCATGCAATGTGGATGATTAAAACAAGAAGCACTGCACTTAATATCACAGCTGCAGGGGGCACGGTTTTATTGGAATGTGGGCCTGGATTACTTCCAAGTTACACTCCAAGGATGAAGTTTCCACGTCACAGCTGCATTGTTTACACATATTCAAAACCAGATCCCAAAATTTTCAAGCTCCTGTAATTACTTTTGGAAAGACTGGCTGGCATCATGGGTGGGAGTATTCTTTTGTCAGCTCTAGCCTTGAAATAGCTTGGGTTTGTGGACAACTCAGGTTGCCTTTGAGTTTCTCACTATCTGGTCATTGCATGGGACTGCAGGCTAGGTGCAGTGTGCTCAACCCAAGGGGAACCAAACGGTAAGGTGAAAAAGCTTTCAATTTAAGACCTAGTGACATGTGAAAACATGGTGATAAACTAAAGACTCCTGCGGGTCTCAACCGGGGACTTTCCTGGTTTAACGTCTGTTTACAATGTCCCAACTATATCTATGCCCTAAGATTTTTTAGGAACGTTCTACGTGTACAAACGTATGCACATTTAAACCTGTAAACAAACCTAATAGATGAGACTTGTCCGAAAAGTAGTAAATGCTCTGTAATTTTCTCAGCTAAATTTCACTTTTATGACACCTCACTTTCTGATGGTTGCTATAATATTTTAAGGGAAAGTTGGTGTTGTTTGTTATGGAACTCTTTAAAAATACGTTTCAAACCCAGCTTATTTCCCCTGGATTGGTCAAACTTCTCTGGGAAGCCTTGAGAAACATATTCAATTTTTGGGTCAATGACAAGTGAGTGCAGGCCATGTGAAAACAAGCAGTTTCAATTAACAAAGCAGAGAGACGAAACAATGCCTAGCACTACATCACTTTTAAATTATGACATCCTGAAATATTCCCTCCCGATGACCGTGTTTTCAGCTGAAATGCGCAAGGAAGTGAAGACAATTGGAACATCCAGTGTGATGGAAGTCTTATGCTTATTACGCAGACAAGACAGGGGGAAATCGTGACTTACATAAAACATGAACTCCGATGGGATTGCCCCCCTCGCTATGACATGTAAGAGAAACTTGGAACACTGATAGGCCCTATTGTTCATATTTGGAATGAAAACAAATGATTTGTTGTTTCAAGACACCAAGACAAGAAAGATACTTCTTGTTGTTCCGGTTGGGTAAGAGTTCCATATATGGACATCACCAATTTGCCCTAGCATGGTTTAATAGCTAGCAGAAAGTGATAACATGTCCTAAGGAGACAAAATTAGGAGGGAAAATATTGAAACACACTTAGAAAATACAATTTTTCAGTCCAGTCTCACAAAATATCCGCATGCTGGTTGGATATAAAATGGAACTCTTTCCACATTTGCATAGGCCTAAAAAATACACTGGCCTACATGTAACGTAGATCATTGTAGTTGCTGCCTTGTACTGCACGGATGTAGGCCCAAGTAAGACTTTGACAAACTCATGTTGCCCAACCAGATACTATGAGACAGGTACAGGGCCTAGTAGTATAGTAGTACTATGATAGTAAGACCTTGACAAAACTCAAGTTGCCCAACCAGATACTTTGAGACAGGTAGGGCCTAGTAGTAGATGTTTCCTGGAAGCTTTGCCAACTAGATTCAGATAGGCGTACTAATATAAGCAATTCTATCCTTTCTGCGCATGGGAAGGACTGGTAGTTTTGTCATTCATCCAAAACTTCAAAACTTAAAATGCCTTAGAAACTATAAAACTACTGTATTAACGTTAGCATGATCTCACGGATCTCACCTTTCTCTCCAGCTCGGCAGAGAAACCGTACGCTCGGCCTTTGTTCATCGGCATGTCGCTCGGTACTGTGGTGATGATGCGGACGACAAAGCTGGAGAAATTACGTGGACTAGTAGTATCATAGAGCAAGGACACTATAGTAGTATCAACCCTGCAGCTGAATGCCAATACAGAACTTCACTTCAAGAAGGGCAAAACAGGACACGCCGTTGCGTCAAGCTCTGTGTGATATGATAATTGTGACACGATAGGGCAGAGTTCGGAGAGCACTTGTCGTTGTCGATGTCGTGACCCGCGTGCCTAGTCAACTAGTCTATCTAGTCCGCCCCGCCTACGCAACTCTTTATCAACGACTATTTCATGAAAAAATAAGGCAGGTTCTGACGATTTTTTTTTTTACTTTCCAACAACCAAAATGAATTCAAAACGGCGCCCTAAAAGGGAAAACAATCAAAATAAATGAATGGATATTGAACAAGGCTAACAAAAGCTTGCCTTTCAAAAATTCACACCGCTGAAAGCTGGTGCCTCCCTATATAAGATGCTGATGCCCCGGGGCCCTTACGCTCGAAAATCCTAGCTACGCCACTGGCTCAAGCCGGTCATTTGATTTCTCAGAGAAATATGGAAGGAACTGAATCTGCTTGCCTTGAAGAACGTACTCAGTTACCGAAAGCTCGGCAATCACATATTTCAGAGCACTGATTTGATTTTCTTGTCGACATTTGATTTCTCAGCCGGCAGTGCTGTTTTCCACAGGCGCGTAGCGCCGCACTGTGTTCGTCCAAACCACGCATGGCGCTCATGCACCGGCCGTCGATAATATGACGCGAAATAATTTTAGGTACGTGACGTCACGTCTTAGGCATTTCTTACTCAATTGTCAAGGACGTTTGAAAGTTAATATCAGCCGAAGGAATACTGATTCCTGTGTTTCAACGACTAAAACAGAAGCTGTTTACCACTTCGCGCTCACCAAAATCGCAGATTGCCTGCTCCAGTCACTTTTTGTGCAGTAGTTCTCCATCTCTGGTCATATCCGTTTGACCCCGTTCGTAAATTTGCGCCCAAGCAATAAACTTGTTCTGAATCATCAAGAAGCCACAGCCACCATTTTGCACCTCCGCCTACACATGTGTAATCATAAGTGGCGTATCCCTCAGTTGCGTCTGGGGGTGAGCCTGAGGGCAAAATCATGAGGTCTTTTTTTCTAAAATTGCCCATTTGTTTCATCCACAAAAGAGTATAAAGATGGTCGTACCATTTCTAAATAGTGTGGGTGTTTTTCACTTAAAAAACAAGGGGAGTGGTGAACATTTTTCCCATGGGTAAACTCCGCCTGCCCCCGCTCTTTTTTTTTAATGAAATAAAAGCAAGGACTTCGGGGGGCGTGGATAAGGCTTTTGGCATATCTTTTTTCTTTCCCAACATCAAGTTGAATGAGCCCCAAACCGCAGTCGCTTTTGAATTTGCCCCCTACACCAAATTGAAAAGCTGGATGCACTGCTGCGCGGGGATAAGTCATTTAATCTTTCTAAGATCGTCCATGAAGTCAAAACCTCCTCCTAATGGTGAAGAGTAGTTCTACCTTTACACAATAAAAAACAAACAAACAAACAAACAAACAAACAAACAAACAAAAACAAAACAAAAAAAACAAAAACCAAAGAAGCCAGGAAGTTGACTTTGAGTAAACCATTACCTGCGATGATATGAAAATTGAAAGGACCTGTGATTTTATGAAGTAATTTAAGGCCGGGCTGTGCAAGTTTGAGGGTGGCGCGAAGTTGAGACAAGAAGGACGATTAAAGAGACAATTGAGCCAGCTTTTAACGCAACATGGAATCCCTCAGAGAAATAGACGTATGGAATCAATGATTCCGAATCATTCAACAGAAGTGTTGCCGCTGAGAACCTGTACACCGTCACCGAATATCATGACTTGCATCTGTTGTACTAGATTATGCACTCCGATAATTTGGTGTGATTTCAATTCTTAATTTGAAATGTTCTCACTGCATATATTTACTCTCTGTATAGACACCCCAATCAAAGTTGACAAAGAGTAAACTTTAGTCTTAAATCATATTTTTTTGTTGCGCTCACACTGCAAGAGGACACAAGCTGTGAGTTTACCGTCCCGGTGCCTACAAAAATACAAGAAGACATATGCAGAACCCCCCCCGCTTTGTGTTGGTCATTGTCTCGCAGGAATCTGGGGAATTCCTTTCAGACATCTTGGGGGGATGTGATAAGTAACAATAGTCTGGAATGTGTATAGGGATTGGACATGTTGGGGGGGGGCACCCCTCGGCCTCATTTCTTGCTGGGTATACAAGAAGAGCCATGCGCACTTCGCGCCACGAAGTGCGTCGAAATACGCGTACCTTGCAGAGTGCAAGCATTACCGCATTAGTTCAACGCAGGCGCACTTCAAATGGGACTCGATATCTTTGATACATTTCTGTCTTCTCCCGTTTGCCATTGGCCTGTGGAGACATAACAGTTTTGCATGTTAGCTATAGAAGCGGGATTCCTCAAGTAGAATGACTAGAACACTGTGGACTATAATGAAGAAGTCGAAGTCGAGTCGAAGCTCATTTTGTCAAATCTATATTGAAACGTAACGACATTCGTAAACGTTTAGTGACAATAAAACTAAACCTAGGGTAGAAGACTGTACCGCCTGTGTTTGGATTGTACCTGTACTTTCTATAGATGTTGGCAGCACCATAAAAATCACTGTTTGCCAGCCTGCTTGACCTTGTACCGTTCGACCACAGATGACAGCTTATTAAGTCGACTTTTTTTCCGCTAAAAACTTCTGCTGCAAGCAAAATCGTAAAAAAGTTAATCATGATTACACGATTTCATACTGATGTAGGCCTAAACAGCATGAAACACGGAAAACGAACTTTGTGATCAACAGCTGGCCTATCTAGCGGAGAATAGCTTTTCCAAGAAATTGAAGATTGGAACATTCCCAGTCGGCTTTGCAAGAGAGGCTAATTGTGAGCCTTATATCGGACTGACTGAACACCGCGGCAAATTTCACCCAAAACATTAACGAGATGTCTAGGGTTCAGTTACAAAAACGAGGTCATCGGGCGACATCAATGTCTGTCTCAAAAATTCTGTATTTTAAAAAAGGGTCAAAATTTAACTGCTCGGTATTAGAGCTTCATTCCCTGATTTACAATTAGTCTCAAATAGGGGTGGTTAAGGAAAGGAGAAAGTGAACCAACGAAGGAGGTAGGAACCGGTTTGTTCCAATCCTTCCAAACCAAAAATTTACAGCCAAAAATAAGACCTTAGATTATGACACTAGTTGACATTTCATCACAGGACTCCATTTCGTGGACTAAAACTGCAGGAGATTAAGAAGCTTTATGAAAGTTCAACGGCGTTAAGGCAGAGTTTGAGGGCAAGGGTTCTGCATCACAAGGATGGAGAAACCTTTTGGCTATACACTGAAACTGCATCAAACGTAGACGAGGTTTGTGTTGGTTTTAGTTACAAACTCAAGGTGATAGTGATGTCGCTTTTGTTTTTCTAAATTAAGACCAAATTTCAAAGAAATGTTTTCAACCAAAACTTCGGAGCTATGGAAGGAACGCCCATAAAAGAGACCTGATGGACATATATGGGCAACATTAGTGATTAGTCATGTGACCTCGGTTAACAGGAGGTCCGATGATATGACATTACATACATAAATATAAAAAGGTTTTTTTCTCCACCCACCTGCCAGCCACATTAATAAAATAAATAAAATGTTGTTTCGAGAACGGTACAAAGATTGCTCACTAATAAAGAAGCAAGAGCAGAATATCTGATTGGCAACTATTTAATTTCTGCGATGTGAGAATTAGTTTCCTTTTTACCACTAAGTCGGTGCACGGTATGGCCCTTTTACTTAAAAAAAGAAAAATTATTAATGCTCGCGTGTGCACAAAGAGCCATGGTGGCAAAAGCGCGAGTGGCCCATTCAAAATGTACACGGTTATAGATGCCACTGTCATTTTCTTCAAGATTCAGCAGATATATTCACGTTTGATATGACAAACCGGCAAACCAACCTTACAGCGCACGCACTTTATTGTGGAAGTACACGCAACCCGGCCTATAACGAAAATGCAAACTTGTTGAAAGAAGTTAAAATAAACGGGTGTGGACATCCAAGAGTACAAATAATTTCATCCAGTTCACGACCTGTAGTTGCTTCACATGAAGTGGTTACTGGGTCTAAGATTTATTTAAGAGGTCAAATCTAACAGTTTCATGGGTCGATTATGAATAAACAGCTCTACTTTTATCAAGTTCCACGCTTGTAGCCTCCAAAAAAGAAGTAAATTTATGCGTAATTATTACCGCCACGTCAGCGCATGAGATTAAAACAAAGATCATGCCATCTCTCAGCCATTTCCTTGCTTCAATATAAAAGCGCTTGAACCCATAAGAACAAATTTTAAAAAGGCACAAGAATAACTTACCGCTACTTAAACAGGTTCAGCTACCGCGTAAAATTACTGAAATTTTATTTTAATTCCTCAACGCGAAAGTCAACTGAGCTACTACAAAAACGGATCTTTTAAATTGTGCCTGTAATATCTTTCACTGATTGGCTGAAGATACTTTGAAGCATTATCGTGATTAGGCTTGAATCGAAACAAAACGTGTCCATGAATCAGTTATGTTCAACAGGTAACAATTTCGTAGTACAACAAAATATACCATGTTCTATGAAACTATAGTCTAAACGTAACTGAAATCATGCTGAGCGAGAGAAAGCTCGACGTTGGACGAATGACAACACAGACCAAAAACCGCAAATTTAACAAAGTTTAATAAAAATGCCAAGATTTTTGCTGGAAACCTACCCGTAAGCTATGCATATTATATCAAAACAAACCCTGTCTAAAACCTATCAATGCCGATGATGCTGACACAGATTGTTTTCTTTGGTGTTAACTGTGTGCACGCAGGTATAAAGAAAGACAAAACTACCGCTATTCTTGTATCCAACACATGAATAAACATTTTAGATAAACAAGTCAAAAATTTAATTGAGCATGCTCTGCACAACACCGTCAAACCAATACCAATAGAAACAAAATTTACCCACTTTTGGAGGACAAAATCGTTTCGCGCCTAAGTATAATTATACATTTTGAAAAATATATAATATGCTGCCAAATGACATGCTATACAAAAACCCTTCGCACCACAAAAATAACACCGCTAGGGTTGCATCCTTCTAGAAGGCTCCAATGCATCATTATGCAAAAAATCGGTCACGAGATTTATATCTACCATACGCAAGGCCTGAATTGTCTTAAATAGAGATAAACATGTTACTTCGGAGTCTTGGTAGGAATCAATCTTGACTTTTATCATCAAATTTTGGTGACAGCCATGCAATGAACACAAAGATTTAGGCTGTCAAAGTTGCGGATAAAAGTAAAGATCAAAAAAGTAAAAACCAAAAATGACAATAAATAAAAAAACAAAATCCCAACAAAAAATCATATCATGTAACTGCAACTTAATACATGTATTGAAGTTGAATCAGCACGGCAATTCTCTAAGATTGATTGGCGAAAGAAAAGCCCATTTTGCATTTTGACCGATTTCTGACAATGTGGAATATATTCCGTTGTTGTGCGCGCGGTGTCTCGGTGCCAGACGCCTAATCACTTTTGATCTGCCGCCCAAGTCCGAAGATCTGTCCCGACTGTGATGCGCCCTTGTTGCTACCCATCTGAAGACCGATGACGCCCCGGCCTTCCCTCATTTGCTCCTCGGAGAATTCTCGCTTATTACCCTGGGACTCCTTCGGCCCGAGTGTTGGTCCACTGAATCCCTTTGCCTGAGCCTGCACATTGTGTTATTGATATCAAAGTTAAAGTGCTTCCTTGGAGCTTCAAACGTAAATTTGATAGTAACAGTAATGCGCCTTCCACCACCCTCCTCTTTTACTTGGAGGGGGATCAGATATTTCAGGATTCTCCGAAATTTGCAACTGTACGAGAACCCTTCTTTTATGTTGTCCAGATCTCAATGAATTTAAAGCTACTGGCTTTTCCTCATTCCTCAAATATTATTTTCACAATCTGAGAGGGTTAAAGGCTCAACCAGTCCAGTTCCAGCCAGTTTGAAACAATGCATAGCCAAAATAGGCTAAGAGTCGACCGTTTGTACACAATGCAACGTATACGAACCTTACGTCCTAGCGCATGAATCCCATTTATAACCTGAAACAGGGAATAAAAATGAATAAAGTAATTAATGCAGAATCGCAAAAAGTTACTTCTAAATTTAAGTCCATCTGTGAAATTTACTCTATGCATGTACATGTATGCAACTTCCTAAGAACCTTTCTCTTAGTGTAATTAAAACAACTTACTGCTGGGGAACCCTGTTTCGAGCACCATGGGTTTATACGCAGAGCCAAAGCGCCGCAATAGGTCAAGAGAGCTGGTCCGTGTAACAAAAGACAGTACTCAGAACAAAAGACCTGCTGCTGGGAATTGCCATCATTTTTTGGCTTGCATTTTTCGAAGGTAATCCGTCACTGTTTACAGTATACCACTGTTTTGGGCATAGTGCGCCTGCGGGTGACTGCAGACAAGAGTGTTCCAGGGCCCACTGATGAGCGACACAGCACCCCTGCGTGCTAATCCAGCCGCGTTTGAAAAGACACCACTCATATTCACTGGGGACAAAGGAAATTACGCAACACCTCACTATTCTGGGCTCTCTTTACAGGGCAGCAGGTCTGGCTGAAATATTCAGGAGTCAATGAAGGTTACCTGTCAGCTTAGAGTAGTATCAAACAGTCATTCGTGTGGGTGTATACGTCCACTAAATGAAATGATGAATTTTTGAAGATTTTTGAAAACTGAAAATCTTGAAAATCTCCCGTACGTGTGCACTGCATTTTTAAAAGCACCCAGCAGCAAGTGGTAAAGTGTTTGAAAAAGTTTCGACTGCGACCATTTGATCTAAAAGTCTTCGTACATTTTAAATACTTGATTCTACACGATACAATCACCGGCGACATGTCATCTCAATTATCTCCAAACCTCACCTGCGGCATGTTTTGGTTTTCATACAGGTCAACAGTCTGAAACAAATCCGCCTTTGGGCATCCGTAAGCGTAACACGCGTCCAAAAAATTGCCGATGTTTTCCATCTACAACACAGATGTGAAAAAAATTGGCAGCGAAAATCAAGTTCGGTCGATTAATTTAAAACATAAGTGATGAAGCATCCACACCATGTTGTCCGTAAAAATAGTGAAAAATGGTGGATGGAAAAAAAGAGCAAAATGTAAGAGCACAGCACAGCACTGTCCAAAATCAACCATTGTTACCAAAACTCAGCGATGAAATTTACCTTGGAAAGAACTATCGTACCAGAGAATATCTTTAATTTCAAAATAAAAATAAACAAAAGTGGGGGCAGAAGATACAATTTAAAGCTTACACAGGGAGATTTCCTTCTCAAAGGAAACTTGTATTTCTATCTTTTAAAAGTTTGGGTAATTTATGAGCAAAATGTGACATTGTGACCCACATTCTCTAAAATCTTACATTACTTATCGAGGAAAAAATTCAGACTGTACAAAGTGATCCTTTCGGTCAAAAGAACTGTTTTGGAAGGGAGGGGAGATAAAGCATGTGAAATTTTGAAACACTTACCATTTTGAATGCCATTTTACTTTCATTGATCTTTTTGACAGATCCAGGTTGCAGTACGTTGATCAACCTACACAAAACAAAAGGAAGGTGACAATATTTCCAAACTAGTTGCTCCATTCAGAGTGACTGCATTTGCCCTGGGGACGCTTTTAACCTCGAACACACATATGCTTAACAACCTTCAGTTTTAAGTTGGTACTTGCACTCTAACTTAAAGCAGTGCTCTGAAAATTAAAAAAAATGACGACGACGAATTCCCGTTTAATTTAATTTCTTTAAAACGCCATGACTATAAAAACAAAGGGTAAAAATGGTAAACGGGAAAAGATTAATTAGTCACAAAACCCTGCAAGATCACAGTGAGTCATCACACAACTCCAAACGGTACGCATTCACACCAAACCAGGGAAGAATTTTTGAAACTGAACAAAAATTCCCTTCTCAAGCCGAACAAGTCGATTGTTTAATTGTGGCTAGTTCGTTCTCTGCGTCGAGGAAATTTTATACAAAGAAAACAGCTGTGACCAACGCCGATTGGCAACGATTTTTAAGGGAATACTGAATTAATTTGACATGACTGGACCTTCAGGATAAAAGATCACATCATAACCGAAACAGAGGGTGCAAAACACACCAAGGATAAACTTATTTTCTTTTTTTTTTGAAAACCTGATCTCTTTTGCTTACTTGCATAGGATGACTCCACTTTTAAGGCCCTCCTGGAACGATCCTTGTACCCTCTCCCCCGTGACCGCTTCAATCCAATCCTGCGCTTCCCTCTCCTGTTGTGGGTCATACTTGGCAGCAGTCTATACAAAAATTACCACACACACAAAAAAACCAATCAAACAAACCCGACTGAAAACGTTACTGCAGTCCCAACCGCCCACCAGACAATGTTGAAAAGTACTAAAAAGTAAAGATAACAGGGGCTTGGTATTTGGCAAGTTGTTGAAAAGACGAGTGCACGGCCCTTTAATTAATGGAGCATGGATTCCCTGGTGGACTGGTAACATAAACAAATAGGATAGTTTTGGTGAACCATGAAGTGACGTAGCGTCCATAGACTTTGTACACGCGTTAGGTCAGTTCGTGGTGCGGCAACTATCCACGATACGTCACCTGCATACACCGAAAGAGTTTGACTTGCATGTACTGCGCTTTCTGTGATTTAAGAATAACGTGTATTGTTTTTATTTTGAATTTGAAGTTAAACTACTGCAGATATTAAGCCCCCGTAGGAACACCTCCACTCAGTGATGACATATAAAGCAAACTTTGATGGCCATTCTATACAAATCTCAAAGATGCCCTAAATTGTGCATGATCGATATGCACTCCGCGCCACATACACCGTCAAACATTTCAGGCACTCGCAGGTGAGTCTTCTCCGTTCATCACCATGGAAATGTGCTATACCTATGTTCATCACAGATTGACATCGAATGGGAACATCTTGTTTCTGAGCATGCATGCTAGAGGTCGAGTCAATACAAGTGCACGTCGGCTTTGGACGTGACAAATTACGCTTTTTATACTGTTCGTGACTTCTTACAACCATTCCTGTCGTTTGTCGTTAACAGTTCTTTTCTTCCCAGGATATTTTCAAGATGTACTTTGCGTTGGCAGATGTGCGTTTTTTAAAATTTGTTTTGACAGAAGCGAGATTTTAATATACATGTAGTCCTCAAGTGGCTAGAATATTGTTGTTTCGAATGAAGCGTCAGTTGAGGCCCAAAGACTGATACCAAATCTATGATGAAACTCTACCACATCTGCGTGTTTGGTTACAGTAAAACAAAACCGACGCCAAGTAAAGGCCTGTGTTTGGACTGCACTTCCTTCCCCTGTTATCAAGTTAACGGGACCATAAAATTCACGACAGTGTGTATTTGCTTTGGAGGGGCAACACGTCTCTCCTAGCAACTTGTCCTTGCACCGTAGGCAGGAAGATGATAGTTCATATACGTGCGTGAATAGTCAAAAAACCAAATAATGTTGCACTTCCTTTTTCTGGCGGAACTTCCGCTGCAGACGAACTCGTTTATTTAAATGGAATAATGGGCGTCTGCCCGTTTTGTACTGCCGAGTGCCCCTATTGGTTCTTCAACAGCATGAAAAACACATTGGGAACTACACTGTAATGTGATTTTATGTTCGGTGGCAGTCAGAAAAGGAACACTGTAAAAACTCTGGTGTTAAAATCAACACTTCTTGGTGTTATCAGATGACCACACTATAAGGTGTTACTTTAACACGGTCGGTGCCACTTTGTACACCTATAAGTTCTTCAATGGACTGGAGCGTGTTAAAAGTAACACCAAATAACACCAAAATTCATCAACAGTGAAAAGTGTAGGTATAGTCCTCTGATAGCACCGATGGTGTTAAATTTAACAACCCAGTTTTTACAGTGAATGCTGGGGTCACTACTGGTGAAGAAGACTTTTGCCAGGAAAGAAAACATTCAGAATGGTAAACGGGGGGGGGGTGATACACAACTGGAAAAACCTAGTCCCTTTTACAACGGCCTCAGAATTTCTCAACAAGTCATTTACTTGTGTTGATGAACGAACAATAAAGATGAGGTGAAAGAAATTATACCCGATGAAGCCAAACAAACCAACAAATAAAAAAATCCAAACCGTGACCAAGTTACAAATATGACCCACCCTGCATGTTCATGACTAATTATTAACAAACCTCTGTATTTGCACAAAACTCAAACAAGTCTCTAGGCTGAATTGCAACAAAATACCCTATTCAGAGTTGACACAACAAAAGACAACCTGCACCTACACAGTGTAGATAGTGAATGTGCATCTACATGTATAGTGCACACCAAGCCATACAACAGAAAGGCAGAAAGATCTTCCTTCCAGTGGCAAGTGTTTCTTTCACGTTCACAAGCGTTCAGACGCCTTTCCTAGTCTCTTACAACTAAGAAGGTAATCTGAAAGGAAAGGTGCTGATCTCTCTACAGAAAAAAGTGTTTAATTTGTTTGATAAATTAAAGTAATAAGCCCCTGGCCCTGAATTTGAAAGGGAAAAGAATACCAAATAGTGAGCATTTGTAAGAAGCATTTCGTGTACTCCGAGAGCAATGAACGATGGTGAACTCATGGGTAATACCAATACATGCACTTTACGCAATCATCACGTTGGTGCACCACAGCATCGCGCCTGTACGTACATGCACATGTACGCACATCATTACATGTACTGTACATGTACATGAGCACGTACAAACGTTCATACGTTCACTGAACGTATAATACATGTACATGTAAAGTACATACATGTACATGAACATGTACACATTCATGCGTATACATGTACACGTACATGTATCGCGTATACAAGCCCAATGGTACACGTCAATATGCATGTACAGGTACTGTACATGCACGAAACCACCTGTACAATTCAGCTTCCCGATCTGCCATGGTTTCACTACTCACTTTATCTGCCAGTTCTGCCGTCATTCCGTAGCCCTTTGGTCGTTCAGCCATGACTGGAAGAGATTGCTTCTCAACAAATTCACGTCAAACGTTGTGTATAGTCTGCCCAGACAACGCGTGATTACTGCACTTCTTTACTGGAGTGACTCCAGTGCAAGCACACTTCTCTGTCGAGAACAGACGACCTGGCCTTGGCCAATTTTATCGAACAAGCCCCTCCCTTTTAAGGACAATCATCAGACCGTCAGGGTTCAATTGATGACGTCATGTTGACATCCGACTTCCCAAACAGTCGTTTAACAACTGCGGTACATTTGCGCAGGTACACACGCATTATTCACATACTGTACATGTACTGTACATGTACATGTACATTCCTTCGCGTCTCCTACGAAAACTACATAACCACTTGTTTTTTTGTGGTAAATCCAGAAAACCGCTCTGGTATGTGACAACGCCCGGACGTGATACTATGGAAGTGGGAAAACCCAATCTACTAAAAAAAAATACAAAACATGCGCATGAAGAAAAATTCAGAATAAACAGGTGCGGACAATCAACTTTTAAACTATTCCAGTTCGAGACCTATTCGCTTGAAAAGAAGCCTGGTTCTTGGGCAAAAGTAAGGTAGTTTTTAAATTCGAGGTAAGTTCGCAATGAACTAAACAGGCCGTCTATAACGTCGTTCCATTATAATCCTGCAAGAACTGCCGCGTGAGCTCCACTCCCGAAGTACCCCCGATCATGGCCATAATGTCAGCGCATGGGATGAATGAAAACCTACTTAGCAGTATCATCTCTAGGCTATTTCTCAAGTTGTTACATTATGAATGTCACCGTAACCATATTCAGTGAAATATACTACGTTGACACTACAGCATAGTATAACTTGTAGTCTTGAACTCTGATTTATATATGTAACTCACTTTAAAGTAAATGTACACCACTATTATAACGATCGCATCAAAACCATAGACGAATCTGGATGTATGGTGACAATATTGTTGATCCGGCATTTAAAGAGACCCCCCGTCAATGGCGAAGAACATTACACTCGAGTATCTACTGCACATGACAGTCGTTTGAAACCCAGAGCAAGGTTGGGTGTGGGGGAGGCGGAAATCCCAAAGATGGCTGGATTCGTCTTCAGACGGTCCCCCTTCCCCGCTGAGATTTTTCGATTGCAAAACAACTGTGTTCCAAGAAGGTTTGTATTGTGATAGATTTAGTGGCTATTTTGCCATATTTCAGGAACATTCGAGTAAAACTAAAAACAGGAAACTGGCGCTATAGTTTGGGCCTGGCGGAGTTACATTACCATGTCCGGGGTCTGCTTCCACAGACTATCCTGGATGTGGTAACTACCGCAGCCTACGGTCCTCATTTCTGCGAGTTTATTCATATTGGTGCTGAACAATGGCAAAGGACTACATAAGTAAGAATATTATGCAAGGTAAATCGGCCCCATTCATCAAGCTGATTATGAAGTAGAAGAGTAGAATTACAGGCTACATTAATGATAAAAAATAGTCATTTTTTGTTCTTTTGACCAATACTTGACTATTAAGTTGGCCGGTAGTTGTCTGGTTTTGTGGCCACAAACAATTGACGGTCTGCATGCTTGCGTAAAAAACAACCAATCAACAAACCAAGCAAACAAAACAAATGAAAGCCAACCCGCCAAAACCTGCATGCTGGGGAAAAAAGAGCCCAATGCCCCCAACTCACGAAATAGGGGGGAAAAAGTCTCGAAAGTTTCAAATACATGTACAAATCAAACTAAAGTTTATTTTTCATCGTTCTCCTGGTCCCGGGTGGGATGGGGGTGATCCGCTCAGTGGCAACTTCAGTTCCCTCCAAATAAACCGCCACCGTAGCCAGTTCCTGTAACCTTTGGTGATGTCTGTGTCGTCATACTAAGTCACACCAATACCAATTTTTTAATTTTTCTAACAGTTAATGACTGTCCAAATTATATCAAACCGTAAAGAATCCTTACCTCTCCCCTGTCGTTTCTAAAGCGATTGCCCTTTTTTGTTATAAAACAAAATTACATTTTATACATGCAACATGTCCCACCCTCCCGCCGAATACGCCACTGATGCCCCCCCCGGCAGTCGGCACCGTTCAGTGGCAGCCGCTCCGCTCAAAACCAAATGCTTTGTTTTCCGATTTTAAAAGGTGGTTGCCGCTTGCCTGTGTTCATTAAAACCTGGCTGTGTTCGTCTCCAGGTATCGTTCCGTATTGAACGGTGTTATCTTGAAGCGCCCTCTCTACGAATATAAAGCTCTTGAATGTAGTACAAGTGGATGAATGCCGTGTTCAGTAAGACATGGGTTGTAGCTCTATGGTAAGACTTGGTAATTCCCATGCGTGTGCCCTGCCATCCCGGCAGCCGGTATCAATCAAATCACTTCATCCCAATTGTTACACTTGGATGTTTAGCAGGTAAATTAAGTCCGAGAGGTGGCAAAAACAATGAATAAAATCGTTTCTTGACAAATATTTCAATTGGGTGGAATAAATCATTCATTTGCAACGAAATGAGACCTTCACGGTTTTTTGGTCGACTTCTGAAAGGAGATTAGTAAACGCCGGTGAACCATCTTGTTTTAATACAAAATCATCAGTTGGTTGTAAAAGCTATGAGGAGCAAAGGAGTTTTCGACAGTACGTGGATAGTATTTTCAACCAGATTCAAAGTGTTTGCGCTGAACACTTAGAGTGACGTTCACAGTGCTGTTTATCCCAAGAAACAGACAAACAACCCCAAGCCCAACCTAAATCACGTCCCCTGTATACACGTGTTGTGTTCCCCATGTGCTATCACGCATTCCTCCATGATTACCACCTTCGCCTCCGTACTGTGGTGCCGTGAGCCTATTTGACTTCGATCATCACCCGGAACAAAAATAAACGCAGTAGTGTTTTGTAATGGAAAAAAAACTAAAACAAAAATTTGTGATTATTAAGATATTAATTAGTCTGACGAAGATTGAAACATCGGGAGTTATGGGGACAATGACGTCATTTTCGGTTGGGCCTTCGCGAAATGTGCGCATGCCAACAAGTATGCCGAGTTTGCTTTTAGCCCGAAAATAAAAGCTGGCGCGCGCTAGCGCTGCATGCGTTACGTATCCCATAGTTCCATTGGGCAGTTCGGGAAATAGGCTGATAAACCGCGATATGCCTGTGCAGTGTGTGCGCTGTGGAGGTGCTGCACCTTGGCTCAGTTTGACCGGGGAAAGACGGTCAAATGCCGCCAACCCCGAACCAGATCCGGGAGCAACTGCTCAATGCAATAGACCAAGATGCCAAAGTAAGCCATAATTTCCGTGAATTCCTTTCTACGAGTCCACAAACTGGCGAAAAAAACCACGGCCGGTACACCGGCGTCACGGTCAGGCGTGCACTGCCATGCATGTGCGATCTTGCACGCGCGCGGGGCGCCTCAAAATGGCCGATTTTTCCTGGGTGGTAGCCACAATTCGGTCCGACAATTCGCGGCCAGTCGTCGCTGTCAGAGATTCTCACCGCCACCAGCGCCAAGCTCGACAACCATAGACCGTCCTAGGTGCGAAATTGGCAAGGCAAAGCGTGGAAAAGGTGCGAAACGGCGACGTTTTCCGAAGGGTAAGTCGAGAGCGCGGAACGGTAAGGGGATCTCTTCACTCGGCTGGTCCACTGCAGAATGACTGTTGACCGCGGCTGGGAACCTATGAGCGGCCGGCCAGCACGCATGCGCTCTGGGTTTACTGGAACACGTCCGTATTTTTCTGTGCATAATGAATAGGGGCAGAAAAAGTATGGCGACGGTGCCGGGAGGCCTTTGCGAGGCTGGTATGCTTGCCCGTACGTACAGTGTACATGTACATGTACTCTACTGCTCAATGGAACTCAATGCATGGCGTATATGTACGTGATATGTACAGTACAATGTACATTTACAATTATTTAGCTGTTGGTTTTAACCGTGTTGTGCCAAATAGTGTGGAAGAACGAGGAGATGGTCGATTCTCCAACGTGTGTAGATCATATTCATAGTGCAAAACTATTATTGATATTTAAGGGAGAAGAATAACACTCTTGGCATTTTTCACATGTTCTTGTCAGGTCATTTTCAGTGGAGGATTAGAGTTCTTTTTGTCAGGTTGCCTGGCATGATGATGAGACGACATGGCACAACGATGCCATCTTGAATTTTTTTGGTTACAGTGTCACATTCATGAAATTTTTGTTGTAATTTACCGCAGAGGCCTTTTACCAGTTTGTAGATTATGAATTTGTTTGACCATTGGTGTATTGGCATGTAAATCTTCATTTTGGCCCCTTTACTTCTTCGGCACATGTAGATTTCATTTTGGCATTTTCTTAGGATCTGTTTTTTAGACAAGGTGAAGAAAATGGAAGAACATATAAGGTGTACTCTTTTTACGTGACATTCGTGTTTCTCCTACGAGTGGCTGTTCAAACTATGATTGGTCATTGGTCACAAAAATAAAAGAATAATTCACAGAGTAAAGCAAATCCCTTGTAACTATCAGACCACCAGGTAATATGTGTGCAAATAAATAATAAAGAAAGATACAGCCGTATCTAAAATTAATGGAACAAACGCCCATTTCGAATGAATTTTTAGATAAAAAGTCCAAACCGACCAAAAAGTGGTATTTTTGCAAACTTTGGCCATCAATATGAGTTGTAGGCAAAATGAGAGTGGTCTGTTGAATGATACTGACAGTTATGAATGAAAATAAGGCCAGTTCCAAGAAACTTATCAGCGCTGGATACTTTTGCCTGAAATTGAAAACAGTGAAAACTGAAACAGGACACAAGTTCTGTCGATGCAGTGATAGGTGATGTACAGTAGGTGTACATGTGTCATTTCACATGGTTGGAGTGTAAAACTAGCATTGCTGGATTTATCATGGTCTACAGTACAAAATCCATTATGGGTTGACTGCTGTTTAGATGCTCCCACCCTGACAGATTATTCCCAAACATAAGCAAAATCTTATTTGAGCTTCGCTTTTCAACTAGTTAAAGCAGAGAGCAAGGATTGGTGCATATCTTGGAAGGACAAGAGACTTGCCAGTTTCTCTGAATGATGCCATGATTTGAGATGCAATGATTATGAAAACTGTACGGCGATCCCACTGTTTACTGAAGAAGAATGAGTCGTGGGAAAAGGCCCTTCTCTTGCAGCCCTCTGGCTAAGTCCTAACACCTGTATCTACCTGCTCATGTAACTGCCAAGACTTCAGTTTTTTTCTCACACACTCCTGATTTTCTTCTTTGTTTCAGGTCATTAACATGGTTGGAGTGTTGGAAGCGATAGCATGCCTAGAGAACATTCAAATCACCAAAGAAGCTCTTGAGGTACTTTCCCCCGGCTTTAGCAGAGCGCATCTGCTTCACAGTCCCGTGGAACTGCTTACATGAATACTCATCCTCTTACATTGAATGTTTACAAATCTAAGCCCTGGACAATTTATCTTGGTGGAATGTTAAATAAAACTCACATGAAGTCTTATTGGGATAAAGATTATCTGTTTCCTGCAATGCATTGTGTCATCCTTGGGCCACTGGGTCTAATAAGCCTTTTGCAAGAGACTTTTGAATAAAATCTGGGACTCTGAGTTCTTTAAATTCACAGAAACATAACAATTTCTTCGTACTAAAAACACTGTTGCTATACCTCGTGATTCGGGGCAAGCTTTTGCGCAGTTACGTAAGCGATGCCTTGCACCAATACACTGTTCTCAATGGAAAAGAAGGGCACAAAGGAACCAGTCCATTCCATAGATGGTGGTCGCTATGCAAAAAGCTTGCCCCCAATCGTGAGGTATAGCAACAGTGTCTTTAGTCTGGGGAATTAAAATTGTCACGTTTGTGTGCAATCAAATAACTCAGTGTACCAGATTTTATTCAAACTTAACTCGCAAATGGCTTATCACATGTACACAAGCAGAACAGCTGCCAAAAGAGAAATAAACACCGTACCTCTCCTTAACCCTGGTAGAGCCGAGTTTTTGGATCATCTCATAGTGGGGGGGGGGCATTATCAGAACAAATGCAAAGTTTCAACTCAATCTATTTGTTTAAAATTCAAGGCCAAGCAAGTGTCGTTGAGTTCATCACTGAAAAAACTTCATTTTGGGGCCGACCTGTCTCAGCAGACTGGGCTCTGCGCTTGAAAGATTTGTTTGATTTCCACAGACTGGGTGTGAGAAAGACTGCAAGACATTATTACTCTTGTGCAAGAAAAAACTTACACTGCGACGAGGGCCCGACCCTTTTCGGGTGAAATTTTATCCCATCTCATTCTAGATCTAAGAGTCTGTTCTAGATCTTGCAGCTTGGGGGTAGGGGTTGAGGCAGTACAGTGTCTTCGAATTTTTGGATGGGTGCTCAGAACTTTTGCTGAGAAGTGTTGCTGTTTCATTTTGGGAACACATACAAGCCCCTTTTGGAATAGCCATAAAAGATCAGGTGCTTTTTGGCTCAATTTCTCCTTGCTTAAACTGGACTCTCACTTGAGACACTGTTTACTCCCTTCAGGAGCATGAAAAGAGTTCCACTGTTCGACGTTAATTTCACTTGCAAATGTTTGGTGCTTTGTAGGAAACACGTCTTGGCAAGATCGTCAATGACATCCGCAAGAACACAGAAGACAGTGCGCTTTCAGTAAGATGTAAGAAGCTGGTCCGCGTCTGGAGCAAGCAGTTTGTCAGAGGATCACCAAGCGCCGGGAAGACAGCCAGCAGCAGTACTCAGGATGCAACTACCAACAGGCAACCCACCCCACCTACCCAAGGGACTACCTCTGCACAGTCATCGGGAGGTAACAGAACTCCTTCCCTCAAGACCCAGACATCTACCACTCCTTCCTCATCCTCTACAGTAGACAAAAAGAAGTCAGAGAACCGAAAACGGAGGAAGCTTAGCACTTCCCCGAGCACAGCATCTCCAACAGGGTCAGCAACAACATCCGCCAAGAAATTAAGACCAGCGGCAAGCACACCCATCTCTAATGCAACCAAAGAACAGACCAACCAAGAGACCAAAAATGGCATGTCTGCCCAACGGGAAGGGAGCAGGTCAGATCTGCAAAGCTCCAAGTCTGCTTTTTCCAAGGTGAAACCTCCAGAGCACAAGGCATCATCAAGGACTGGCTCCCCTGCTTTAAAAGTGACGGGCCAGTCCTCACCTGATTTGAGTAAATTGAATGCAAATACCAGCAAGGCACATTCAAAGTCCCCTCTACTCACGAAACACACATCAAGCCCTGTCATCGGTAGCAAGCTGTCACCAGCTGTTGTTGGGTCTGACAAAGCCGGTAGGTCCTCACCATCTGTGAAAGCAAAACAACCCAGATGTTCCAACAGCACAGACTCAAACCGCCTTGATGTGACTGATTCCACTGCTCTTACAGGTGAAAGAACTCAGGGGACGACGCACAAAGACAGCGCTGCCACAAATCGGCTGCAAAGTAAATCCCCAAACACACACAACACACTCCAGGACTCCAATTCTAGTTCTGCAACTGTAAAGTTACGGTCTCCCGCTGCGTCCGTGGAAGAACGATGCGCAACTCCAACACACACTGCATGCTGTGCCCCATACATCAGCCACGACCACATGCTACCAGAATCTCAGTCCTCCGACCAAGTTCTACAAGAAACAGACAGTTCTAGAGTGTCTTTTTCAATATTTGATGATGACTACGATGAAGAGGATGAAACCCTCAGCGAGGAGAGGTATGACAGGGCAACCGTAGATTTTGAGAAAGTACCAGCTGTGACGTCAAGTCTTACTCAAAAAGCTGACACTGACAGGCCTCCGAGTTCAAACCTTGTTGATGATGCCTTGCCTGGTGCAGACTTGGAGGTGGATGGCCAACCAATGGATGCACCAGAGGCTCTTCCCACCCAAGACGCTCATGTACACCTCGAGGAAGAGCCAGCACCAGCTAGACCGGTGACAGCAGACGACCTCACCAGGGTCCACTCACAACAGTGGGATGGTGTTAACGGTTGCTACAGTGACCGCAACGAGTGGTCTGACTGGACACAGTGTCTCTCCATTACCACACAAGATGACAATGCCTTGCATATATTACCATATATTTGCCTGGATTAATTCTTGGAGCTGCGTTCAGAAGTAGACTTGACAAAATTTATGAAATGAATTACAGACAAAACGTCCAAACTCAAAATTTGTTTTTTTGGCAGCAGGTTGCTCAGGCAGCTTGCATTGTTTTGTTCAGTAATATCAATCCAAAAAGTTGGTTAGTTATGCAATAACAATATTTTTTTCTTTGGCTTAGTTCATCTGCCGTAAGTATTTGCGTTACTACGTGTAAGACAGATTGTTCCTTAAAAGTCTGTTTGTCCCAAGTTGAATTTGTGCGTGTCGTCAACTGAAAAGGTAGCCAATCACTCCACTCTTTCGCTCCACATGTACAACAGTTGTAGAATGCAAACCTTGTTGGGCTGAGAACTGCTTCAAGAAGTTCATGTGAAACCACTACACGGACTCCACTGAATACATGAACATACATGTACCCAGAAGCATCTGCTTAGCGATGCTGGAAGCTTCTTGATAGTGCTTTTCTCACAGCCTTGCCTGAACATGGTTACGGTACTTCCCAGTCATTCTCGGGCAAGTGTAACTCGGCATGTGTTTGTGTCTGATCAGTAAACATACAGGTATTTTCACTCGACTCCAAGGCCAGAAGCATAGAGACTTTAGGGTAAACATTTACAGGGTCACGATGTCGGGTAGAGAAATTTCCAAATTGATCGTTCAAATAGATTCTCATGTTCTATGAATTGCTAGGGTTTAAACCTACACGTTGTTGTGTTGTGTGAAACTGAATGAAGTAAGGAGAATTCAGGGCTGTTGGGGTTAAGAAAAATGGTTTGGTATGGCGCGTTTTCTTTTGAATTCTGTTTGGCAGTTGGCATTATTGGCTTCTCCACAGTGCCGCGTAGCTACTAGGGGTTTGAAGTACTATGAATCACTTTGCAGCTGACAACAGTGTAATCCACAAACCCTTACAAATCCTTCACGATCAATGAAGATTTTAGAGAGATTCAGGACAGTGCGTATATGTATACAGCCTGAGCACTAATTTTTTATTCATGATTTCCTGGACACTGGAGCATTTTGCCGAATAAATTAATTTGAGGATGCCGTTCTTATTACATGTATACCCTGGCTAACTCTGCCGTTATCACAGTTATGTTGGAAAGGGGCCGTTGTCAGTTGAATGAACCGGGGGGGGGGACTAGAAGATGTTCAACTGTTTAAATGTGGTTCTATTTTTTTGGCCATTTGTCCCATTTGTTGTTTGTTGGACGTCCATAGGGTTAATCACATAAAGTGTCGCATCACACAACAAGGTTAAATACATTTACTACATTCTGAAGCTGTCTGGTGTTGCATTTGATTGCAGTTAGAAACAAAAGCAATTCGTATTGAAAAGGCTAATTAGTACACTTGATTTCTCCCTGCCATTCTAGCTGTCAACAGGTATTTCAAAGTAAAACACTCTGTATTTTCATTGTGGAGCGTTATGAAGTAGATAGAGAACTTCTAATTGAAATAAGACACTTTCGTTTAATTTTTGTGAATTGAAATGTGAGATTTGATATTTTGATATTAAATATTGCTATAACAGCACAATGTGAGGATTTAGAAGAAAAGTACGCTAAGTGATTTGGAATATTAAAGACAAGGTTTTGAAGTTGTTCTGGGCTTGGTTGCTACTCCATCAGTTCGATAAGGGATGGACTGATGAGAATTGTGTTGAAGACTGAAGTTGGGCAGTTTGGTGCACCTCTTTGGCCGAGGCTTAGGAACGATATCACTACACATCACTACAACCCCTGACTGGTCATTACTTACCATCAAGATCATACCAAAGTTTGACTGGAAACTGCGTTCGAGATTTCATGTCCAATATTCCCGATTGGCCACTTCACAAAGAAGGCTTTCTTGAACATTTTTGTGAACCGTGCAATTGCACGAATGCACATGTACATCAAAGTCATGCTACACACCTACCCACCAAAGCGACGCTGGCCGTACAATCCAATCGCTAACTTTAATCAGTTTGATAATAAGTCAGGGCTCTTTGTTATTGTATGCTGCACATGGCTGTGAAATTGTGAAGTGCGATGGCCCTGAATGGACACTGCCTTAAGTTTGTGAAATACTCAATAAGAGTAACCACTACCTGCGATATATATGCGAATCAGTTGGATTGAACAAAATGGGTGTTCTTTGTACAATATGGATTTCATGTTATAAAACAAAATCAGAGCTGTGATGTCTCCTCAAGGCCGCTGTAACAACACAATTTTAGTGGTTACTAAAGAAGCTTCAGTTTATATATAAACTGTTGTAGTTTGCCGGCCGAATGTCAATTCTGTCTTGCTAATCAAAGAGTATCTTGAAACATTTTTGATTGAGGAAATATTACTACATACATGTAGTTGGTTTTGCCGTTGACGAAAATCTGAGGAAGAGTTGTAATTGGATTGAAACAAGTAAGTAAATGTGTTTCGTTTGGATTGAGTCGAGCAATAATAAAAAAGGAAAATTGCTATAGAACAAGTGAATAATTGTATTTCGAATTACACTGAGATCGTCAGTCATTATTCTGGTGGAAGACCGACTGAATAATTGTTATCTTTCCAAATATGTGAGTTTTTAATTGCCCAGATTTTTTTTATAGGGGGGGAGGGGGTTGTTAAAAAAGAAAACGACTCCGGGAAATAAAAAAGCCTGGAGAATTTTGTATTGTACAATCTGAAATTGTTTCTTTTACGCAGATTAGATAAGGAATAGAGGAAATCGAGTAAGTGGGGAATATCTGGCCATATGACAATACAGAGAGCGTACAAAAACTTAATTATAGTTGCCCACTAAAAATTTGGCCTTACAACAGTTTAAGAATTACTCATTTTGGAGTTACAAATAGTCATCATTAACTGAATTTCCTTGCATTAACAGTTCTCGTCAGGTCCCAAACGAATGTTACTTTTGCGCCCAGTTAAATAAGCACCTGTAGAGGGCGCTGTTACAAAATCACGGTCACATTCCCAAATGTCTTGACAGGTTAGAAAAAGTTATACCTTTGCCGCCGCTGTTGATAGCTGACAACAAAAACTGGCACGGGATCTGCGCCCAATTTTAGGGCGCTGCTTAACAGCAAAACGTCGTTCTTGCCTGGTTCTTCCAGCCTTTGTTCCGTCTTGTTTCAAGACAATGTTCATTTATACCTCCAGCAGGTTCCTGGGAGTATTTCTTTTTGAGCAAGCCTCTTTTCCTAGAATGTCTTTTAGCTATTTTCAGGGAAATTTAACAGTTAAAAAATGTCGACGAAAATTCAACGGCCGGTATTCTTCGCGTTTAGGCAAGATGCGTCAATCGGGTGTTTACTGGTAGCACTTTGGGAAAAAGTTGAGATTTTCGGCTCCATCCAAGAAGGGGTGACAGGTTCTTGAGATGTTGTGGGAAGTGGAAGTTTGGGGGACAGTACTCAACTCTGCCTTGCACACTCTCATTATCACTGACGAAGACCGAATAATGGTTCGATTGGAACGCACATTTATTGGAGAGTCTGTGTTTCTGGATTGAAATATTTGCATGCGTTTAAACATGTCTCGGTGGAAACAACGGTGTGATATGGTATAGTCAACATTATAAGCAAAGTCGTTCTTTGAAATTCGCAACATCGTTACACCTCAATACGTTAACTTCATACTGATATCCTTCTTACATTCTGTTCAACAAAATACTGCAATTAGCAAATATTTTTATTAAACTAATCGAACTCATTTAGAAAAGATATGTGGGCCGTATACATGTACATTACCCTGTAAGATAATACTCACAGGAAGCGGTTTATGTTTGAAAATGATGCAGGAAACATTTAAATTGTCTGATCTTTTCATAAAATAAAAATATGGTAGATTGTTATCATAAAATATTTCACCACAATTATTTGACATCAATAGTTTACACCACAATCGGTACACATTTACAATCGTCGTTTTAAATATATGATACCAAAATTTGCATAGAAATTCTTAGTATAAAATATTTCAAGCGAACAATTCATATTTTCTTTATGGGATGACACATTAAGTATGACAATTTAAAAACCTATATAAAAGGACATTTTTTTTTACCTCGCAGCCCTCGATAGGCGGGTTCCGCCCCAGGATCCAGGTTGTCGCCAGACTTTCCCAGACTATGCATGCACGTTATGTTAGATCGTCCATGTATAAGCGTATCCTTTATGCTTCAAATTAATCTTTAAAAGTGTTTTCTTGATCTATTCATAAATCACATCCTGAGACCTTTCATACTCTGTTGCCAACCCGTACTACAAGAATTGGGTATTTTGGGAGAAAAGGTTTGTCTATTCCTATCGGTGTCAAAACGACAGCAAGACATCAGCGGAACTTCGCGCATTGGGTCGACAGATTTCACGCACTGTGATTGGTCAACGCGTTGCAAACTATTGAAGTACACTATTGCCAATCGCCCATATTCAACTGTTTACAATGTACATGCTTGACGTGTTCATGCTTGACTATAATTTACAAATTTTAATCGATACTATTTAAAATTCTTAACTCTCAGCAATTATAAGAGCATTTTCGCGAAGAGAGCAGTTGTGTATCCGGCGGGAAGAGGTGGGGTAGAGGGGCACAGCCCTCTTGAGATTTGTTCCTGATTTTTTGAAAGCACCAACATTTTAGACAAAAAGTTCGTTCCCTTTGACTCAGTAGTAAGACATGCGTTTGCGACAGAAAAGCATGCCACACCGTGATAGCGAAGTAACTTATCAATGATACTGTTAAGCATCCGAATCATAATGTCACAGAAATATAAATACAATTAAACATTAAAGTTATGTTATTCATTCTTTGGAATTCTCCTACTCAGCAGGAGCTCTACGAATTTAAGGACAGTTATGCATTACTCTGTGTTCATTACTTACACTGTGTCATTTCTGAATAGCTACTCGTTAATTGATACAGCAATTTCCGCATCAAACGGGAGACTTTGAGGGGCTGTTGGCAACAGAAATACCGGCCTTTTTCAAGGTTTTGGGCGTGGGATGAGGCTAAAAGCCAGGCACTCCGTGCATGACGTCACTACGCGTGTGGCTCCGTTCAACTGCCCATGTACGAATACCTAATTGTAACTCATTGTGCACGCGTGACCTAGTCGTGAGCTTGTTGTTCCTTCCTCCATGTTTGCAGTGTAGTCCGTAGTCGGTCCACCATATCTGGGTTTTCATGCAGTGATGTTTTGCGTAGTAACGTTATGCACGGAGTGCCAGGCTTATAGCCTCACCCGTTGGGCGTGCTCAGAATTATGCACGCGCGTTCAGAACTTGTAAAAAGAACCGATATGTTTGTCTCCACCAAGCGTTTCAAAGCTTCCATTCCTGCATAGTTCTAACATTTACGTAAAAAGCAGCAAAAATATAGCTCTGGGTACTATATGAGATAATATTATTCGTTAAGATTTCACTAAATACTAATAACAAAAATCATGAATTGCTTGTATTGGCCACATTTTTGCCAAAAATCATGATCCGACGGAAAATGGCTTCTTTGACGAAACTGATAATCGCAAATGGTATTTAACACAAACGAACATTTAACATAACACAAACGAACATTTAACATAACACAAAAGAACATTTCTAACTGTCTCAAACAGATCCAAACTGCAATTCTCCCTATTTGAGCGCAACAATGCACCCTATGGCTTTGGCATACAATTCTATAGAGATAAATTGGAGCTAGGTTGAGGCTGCCATGAAAATCGTTCGTCCAGTTTTATCAAGTAGCCTATTCCTCATTTTCCAGCGTTTGCTTTGACAAAAGAGTGCAAGAGCACAATCAGCAGAAATGTTATCCTCTGTACCATTAAATATGATTTAATAAAAAATCGAGTGAGGCCCGAAGTTAATTCCTACATTCCTTGGACAGTAACTGCAGTCAGATATTCTACTCAAACAAAGCTATACTGCCCTTTGTTGGCGGCTTTTTGCGTCATTTTTGCGGTTCTGTTTTGCTGTTCAGTAGGTGATACATTGACCATCCATCATGGATTTAGGTCCTACCTTCTTAGATTTAGATTTCAGAATCATTTGAGGGTGTGACGTTCTCATAGATACTGGTAGAGTCCAAGAGTGTCTGGACCACGTCATAGCATAGCGCGAATTGGCCCTGCAAAGGACGAAAAAAATCGTTTCAACACCTCCTAACATTTCTGTCCAGGAGCAGTGTTGGTGGCGTCTCGCTGTAGCAGCCTGGGTTTGAACTTAGAAAAGGGTATTCCACATGCAGGAATGAATTAGGTTGAGGTCTCAATCAGTCTACGAAAGTTCAAAGATTTAAATTTATAAAATTAAACCTTAAAGTTATTCAAGCACCATTTTTTCAATCTTGCAAGTTTTGGAATACAAAAACAAAATACTTGTAACATAATCGAAGAAAATACATTAAAGTATTCAGAAATGTCTCTAGAGCTAGTATAAAAGCATTAAGCCACCAAAGAAGTCACCAATGAGTCATTCGCTTCAACGTATCTTGAAAAAACATAACCCAAATCGTTGTATTTCTGGGTGCGAGCTCATTAATATTTTGTGATTACACGGGATTTGTACAGTAAGACAGTCCATAACCAGGATGGAATCATAGAAATATTTCTATAAATCCCGAATTTGGGACTGATAGTTTCCAGTTCAGGGTATTTCTTTCACAAAGGCCCCGAATTGCGGGCCTATTTTGGAAAGAGGCGGGCGGCTACATTCAGAAATGAGCGCTTAGTTTTACTGCTATTTTGGGGGGTATCTTCCTTGAAAGGCGAATAAAATTTTTTTTCGTGACAAACCCCCATGAAATTGAAACAAAAGGTGATCTGGCCATAATCTTGAAGTTCCAGTGAAAAAAGGAAGCCAACCTCTTCACGAGAGTCAACAGGCGGCGCTATTTCGGTCCGATTTTGCACTGTTGTGTGTATGGGCGCGTACATTGTATTTGGTGTAACGCAACCCTCACGTGTGTATGTGTGAAACTAGTGAAAACTCTGTGATAGAGGATGGCCCTGCTGCAACGTCTTCAACGCATGCGCATCCACCATGACAACGGAAGTCACGTCTGGTTCAGGCTTGTTCTTGTCGAGTTCTTGTCTGTTGATCTGCTGGTATTTTGGCACTTTTTCACCCCAAATTGTCTGCTTTTCTGACGGCTTGGATACGTTTGGCAAGTCGAGAGTTCCCAGTGGTAGCGTAATCACTGAGTAAAGGCACTATACTTGAGGTAAGATTTAACTTTTGTTAACAAAGCGTTAGGCCAGACTTCAGCAATTTACGATTAATGTTGACATGGAGTAGAACTAGGCCTAGACTATACTGACACTATAGGCCTAGCATAAACGTGACAATTCCTCAGCGGTGGAAGTTTGCAAATACACACTCAGCACTGCGCGGGGAAAATGTCACTGTGTAGGCCTATAGCGTTAATACCCAGCACCCATAATCTTCATTACGCCAAGCCTGATTACCAAGAAAATATGCTGTAGGCCCTAGTTACATTCCCCTACCGTCTTCTCCCCTGACATGAGACCAGCCACTAGGCCCTAGTTCATAATATGGCCTGAGTCAAACTAAATTCGAAATGGGAAATTTTGTTGAAAATTCCTTTGCGTTCGAAAAGGTCTCACTGACGGTTTTGAAATAGGAAAACAGAATAGGGCCACGTTATGGAATTATATTTTTGAGCAAAAAGTGGTGGAAATTCTGCGTTGAACCACACTGCTTCACTGCAACTTACCTCAGAGTACATCATGTTGCTGTTGACCATGCGCAGACGATGAACGGCTTGGAACACATCTACAGCCTTCTCGAACTTGAACTGATCCACCAGCGCCATCAGGGCGCAGAACACAGACGTACTTCCCAGTCCATCCCTACAAACAGAAATTACCAATTGTGCAACATTACCACTTGTATAGGTAGTTTTAGAATTAATGAAAGTTGTTGGCCAAAAGTAAAGTACTAAAAAATGGAACAGATTCCGAGTATATTTAAAGTTCACTAGAACTGAAGAAATTATAAAAACCATCATAAATTTGTTATGTGGTATTATTCCTACGAAATTAAGAGAACCAAACATAAAGAATGGGCTTAATATTTTGTGCTTGACGAAGAGGCTATAAAAAGTTTTGTAAATTAAATTTTTGTTAAGTGTAATGTACATGTATGTCGCACCCGGTTTTAGCGAAGCGCGGCAAAAGGTGCGAAACCTGCGTGCAGATCCCGAACCACTCGCAAGGACAGGAAAAATTCAATCAGAAAAAAAATATTGTTTTAAGGGGGAAAAAAATACAAATTTATTGTTCTCAAATAAATAAAGCGAAAAGAAATTGAACTTATGATTAAATAATTAATTAACCTCAACTACAATTATATACAGCAATCTGGTGCGCCTGGTAG